AACACCCGGCGGCGTTGGGATGGCCAGGATATCCCGACCAGCGAACAAGACGGCCACCTCGCCCAACTGCACAACAGCACTATGCCCAGAACGGCACCCCTTCGGTTCAGAACTTCAGACCTTCGTCCGCCACCCGGCCGGGATACCCATGCCGCGCTTTTCGCTGGCCGGGGCAAGCGAAGCCGCGACGACAGCCGGGCCCGGAGGCGCCCAGAATCACCAACACCAACCGGGACAAGCGGTATATCGCTCGCTGACTCTGGTGCCTCGATGTGCGTGCGTTGCTTCGCTACATGTCTGAAATCTAGAATCTGCAAATGGCGTGATTCGCGTTCGGCGCTGCCCCTAGAGTCCAGACAGCTCATCAGGGTTGCGTCGACTTGACTTGCGTAGCGCCAGCGACCGGAGTTACGCGAAATCGCGTCCTCTATTCCCGCGAGTCCGTGACACATGCGAGCCTCAGGAGCGGTCACGACGTGGTCACGCCGCTTGCCAATTTTCATCTGAGCACCGTCGTCATAATCACATGCAATGTTTTTTTTTGCTTTCTGGGCGCCGGCTTCGTCCGGGGGGGGGGGTAATTCCTCTCGTTGCCCGTGATAATGGAGCCACCGCTGCCGAGCTCGTTCGCTTGCAAATACGGCGCTGGCAAGGCGGCCGGTCATAGGACGCAGTCCTGAGCTCGGTATTGGCGTTGCGCTCGCGTACCGTCTATACTACGAGTTACGTAAACCATGATAAGAAATTGAAATCAAGGTGTTTGGGCAGAGTCGGCTCGTGAGAAGCCTTTCTTTCCTGCGACGGGGGCTGGAACCCGTTCCATCAGGTAGGTATTGAGAGTACGGCACGCGGGTGTAGACGATAAGGGGGACCGAATGGGCTGCGAAGGGCATTTTTGCTTTCGTCCAAGACGCTGCTGCGCGTACGGGAGACGCCGTGTTTGAATTACTTCGTGTTTAGACGAGGCCAGGCGACCTTGCTATTGTTTGATATACCTGGGCTGACTGACGGGGTTATTCTACAGTTTCAAAAATCGTACCATAAGGAAGCCTCTGTTTTACAAGGACGACTTGGGTTCAGAGCCGAGTCTGAAGTTGAACGGGTTCTTGACGCTTTGCCAATCGGCACGTCGTCCAAGGCCATGTCCACCGCGGGCCGCACGTTGGAGAATGGCATCGTGCCATTAGGATCCGGGCGTCGTCATACGATCCACAGACGGCCGGCATTTCGAACCCTGTCACCAGATTTAGATTGGCCTCCGAATCTTTTCAATAGGACCTTGCGCCGGCATTTGATTGTCAAACGCGGGCCAGGAGCCGGCATTATCAAGGTCCAGTCCAATTCGCGGCTCCGGAAGGATTTCAAATCCCCCATGCCACATCCACAGCAAGACGCGGTGTTGGTGCCAGGGAAAGTTTGTCAGCGCCGTAGCGACATGTCTGCAGAATGGAAATGCCGATACTGCAGCCTGCCTTGCCTCACTTATACGAAGAGCAGCGAGGCTGGCGTCCCACGATGCGACGGAGAGTACATACGTAGCCACTCGATAGAATTAGCCGAGGTGGTGCCACCATAACGGGGATCTATTATACCCCCGTTATTATGCCGCTCCGTCATAGACAGGACTGGGACTATATGCCGAGCGGATAGAATAAAATAGCCGTTGTACAAGGTTCGTCGTGAATTGTGAAACCGCGGGCAGAGGAGTCAGGACATGCATAGACGATAGACGAGACACGTCAAAAAATGCTGACGCCATCTTGGGCAACATGACTGACTAATGCGCCGCCGGCGAATATATCAAAGAATCCGTCATCAGTGCGAGGCAGCGGCGGCAGACGAGCTCGCTGGAAACGCGGTACGGTCGATTCCGATTTCCACCAAGACAACGGATAAAGTCAGCTCGCCAGGCCGGGCGAGTAGGATAAAAGCCATTGACTGACTGTGACTGACCCTGCTGGATAGGCCAGGACTGCCCCGGTCGGATGGGGACCGCCAAGGCGAGGCTCCCTCTGCGCGATTTGGATCAATGTCGAGACCAGTTGACGGCCAACTCAAAAAGGCACACGAGGCATGAATGGCCGTGGTTTAATTGGCACGACGAGGACGTCATGTCGGCGTCGGCGCGCCCGAGGATGCAGCGAGGCGCCGAAACCAGTTCGCCCAGCCGGGGGGGGCGCGCAACCGGCCACTTACGACTTGCGTCTGTAGGAACTTGAACCCGTCTCGGAAGTATTTAGGTCTGGTAAATTGCAATATGCGTAGCCGCCCCCTGCACGGCGACCCTACTCGCTGCGAAACAAGTGTGGCGGTAGGAACTAGGAACATTGAACCAGATAAGGAGTCTGTCGCAACCATGACACAGAGTAAACTTTGCTGGGCCCCATAATTCGCTTGGCGGACTTTGCCGAGAGTGAGTCGAGACTCGACGCTGCTTTGTTTTCTCCGTCGTGGCCAGAGTCGTCATGCAGAAAGGGTCATGGTTATGCGGCATGCCTCATCAGTCAGTCTCCCTGTCTCTCTCTCTCTCGCCGTCGTGGTCAGATGGATGGATGAATGGATGGGCAGCAGGCCTTGGGTCGAACTGAGGGCGCCGCGGCACCCGAGGAGCACCGGCGTTCAAACGTCCATCGTCTTTCATAGCTTCTGGAACGAAAAAAGAAGACCAGGACTATGTACAAATTCCTGCGTGGCCCCGAAACGGGTGGCCACCGGGCTGTGGACAGTTCCAAGGGTGCAAAGGGAACCTTGAACAGAGTGATTGACTAGCGGCCTGCCAGTTTGGGTGTAGCCGCGTTACGTGTGCCCAGGAGTCCAGGACAGGAGCATGGGGGACACGGAGAGGTGCCATTTCTCAGCAAGTCCTCGGCAGCCTCATCCGGGGAGTGAGGACTTTTGCCTGGTCTGGCTGTGTGCGCCGAGATGGCTCGCAATCGAGTCGCCGTGGGCGATGAATCCCGCAGAGCCGCGACGCTACGCCTAGGGATGGACAAGTAGTACGCAATGCATGCCATGATCCTAGACGCGACATCAAACCGCCTTGGTAGGCGAGAGACAGCGGGCGGGGGACGGGCAAGAGTCGCGGCGGGATGGACTCGATGGGGAGAGGCGACGGATCGTCTGCCGGGATGAAGCTATTCCCAAGCCATGGATGGCCGTCGAGAAAAGACAAAAAATTCCCCGATGGGATGAGGTTCTAGTCCTCACATGGAAAGAATGCGACCCGATCACACGTGTCAAGTTCCGCGCGAGTGTTTGACTCAGTTTTCCACCAAGACATGGCGCGGGGGCAAACCTTGGAGCGACGCCAGCGCAATGCCGCCAAGGGGCCATGGAGTTGACGTTTGACGTTTGATAGTGATTAGTGCATGTACGTCAGTCAGATCTGGAGTATGGTTCAACGGTCAACCTTGGAGACGGCGTCCCGTTGGGATAGCAGTGTAGCATCGAGTGAGTCTAGCACAACGTCTAGCAAGCACTCGGACTCGCACTCGGGGGGCCTAGCAGAGACCAGTGCCAGCCCAACAAGGTTGTGTATGTATGTACATACGACGACTGACAACTTCCTTGTGTAGCAACCAAGTTGGCCGGCTGTCGTCCAGGGCCCGGGCGACTGGGTTCCTGAATAGGCTGGCCTTTGCTTCGGATCCGAACCAGACCAGCCATTACATGTACGTGACGCTGCGAGAGGAAAGGAAAAGAGTCACCGCCGCCAAGAGACCAGTGGGATGGGATTATGCCAGCAGAAACAACCCGCCAATGCATGTGCCATCACGTTACATCTCTGTCGCAAGCATGTGGCTTTGCAAGTCTGGTACCGGAGCTATGGACCAACAGCGTCCTCATCCCACACAAGGAGCCATCCAGGCCCAAACCAGCCCTGGCTCACGAACCCCAGGGAAGATCCCCCGAACTGCCGGTCGTGTGCTGCCCAGCCTAGCGTTGAGTTGAGAGGAACCGGACATGCCAAAGCAGACGCGCACCCTCGGCGGCCCAGCAGCCCATCCATCGCGACAGCCCATCTGGGCCTTTTCCCACAGTGGTTCCGGCTCCAGGGCCGCGGTGGAGCTGTCGAGATCTAGTAGTAGTAGTAGTATGCAGAGACAATACGGAGTACTAGATACTAGAGACAGCGCCGGCCATGACTCCACGAGGGACATGCCAAACTACTCAAAGTAGTAGTATTTTGTGAAACAAAGAACGGCTAGCGAGAAGCAGACATGGGCATGGGCCTGGTACCAGAGAAATAGCGGCGGGTCGGTGGAGCCACGGCAAATGTGATTCGTTTCATCGTATAGGCCGCCATGGGTTCATATATCATCAGCCTTGCTGGCAGATCGATGTTGAAGAAGGCCGCTGGCCTCGAGAGATGCATTTGATCAGCTGCATCCCCGGGACGTCCGTTGTTCGTCCTGTCGTACGGTCCGCTTTACCAACTGTCTGCCTGCCCTTTTTGCCTCGACATCCTCTGTCGTTTCCGCCTCGTGACTTGTCGTCTGCCGCTTTCCCAGTATACCATGACGCGCGTTAAACCCGGCCAGAGGAAGCGAGCCAAGGCCCCCAAGGTCAGGACGGGATGCCAAACATGCAAGTAAGTCGGGGACGGCATATTGTCCTGTCCTTTCTCTACACGTCCTTTTTTGCTGCGCTGGGCGAGAGCCTGCGCATGCGGTATTGCTACCATGTAAGTGAGGCTAACGCGGTCACGTAGGAGTGAGTCGGTTTCCTACCACCCTCCCCCCGGGACGGGCTGTCCGCAGAAACGAGGACATTGTTGCTGTACGGAATCCAGGACGGGATACGTACTGACACTGCCGATACAGCGCGGAGAATAAAGTGTGACGAGACGCGGCCGTTTTGCTCCCGATGTAAGTGCTGTCCAACGCAAACCGCAGAGAAACTCGACCGAGACAAGCAAACGTAACCGTCCTCGCCGTACAGGTACCTCTACCGGCCGCAAGTGCGATGGCTACGCAGCCCAAGCAGCATCGAGCCCGACGATGCCTCTGGCGGCGTACCCGACGCCGTCCTCGCAAGACGAGCTGCAAGCCGTCCAGTCCTTCCGGGAGCGCACACTGGCCCAGGCGTCCAAGTTCTTCGTCGACGAGCTGTGGACGACCAAGATTCTGCGCATCGCGCACGCGGAGCCCGGGATATGGCACGCCCTAATCTCCCTGTCGTCCTACCACGATCTCTTCATGCAGCCCGTCGACGCGGCCGGCGCCCAGTCGGCCATGCAGAGGCACAACCTGGGCATATACGCCCTGCACCATCACAACATGGCCATCAAGGCCGCTCTGGACATTCAGCGGACGCCAAAACACCCCCTCTCCCACATCATTTCGTGCGTCGTCTTTGTCACCATCGAGGTAGGCGCCCACCCCCTGTGTTTTTCCACCCCCGAGACACCAGACACCATGTAGGGCTTACACATGAATCGGGGACAGATTATCCGAGGCGAAATCATTGCGGCTATACGGCTTCTTAAACACGGCCAGCGCGTCCTCCACGAGTTTGAGACGCAGCAGCGGCACCACGCCCAGGCGTCCCTTGGCTCCGAGGACAGCGTCATCGTGAACCTCGTCGAGGCCTTCTTCACCTGTCTGACCCACCAGGCCGTCTGTGTAGGGCACTTGACGGGCGTGGCAATCTACTGACAACAAATTGCTCGTCGGCGGGAAATCAAAAGACACGGGTGGCTCTCGCGACGCAGAAGTGGTACCCAACCGCCCAAGATGTCATCGACACACGGGGCCGTCCTCGTCCCCTCGATGGAGAATTCCGTATTGGACGCGGTGAATCATTGCTGGCACTGGGAATGACGGCTGGGCGTGCTCATGACGAATATTGCGAAGCCAGCTGCGAATCTTTGCGGTGCAACTTGAGCCCTTTGACAGCGGTACGGGGGATGAATGGGTTCTTCACAGGGCAAAAGATGCTTTATACTACGCCAAGTGCTGCCCGTTCCAGCCTGTCGACGGAAAGACTCGAGAGCCGGCGTCGATGATCACCTAAACGTACGTGGGCGGTGCTGCCGCCATCTTTTCAGCCCCTGCGATTCCGAGCGAGCATTATTTCCCCTTGTACAAGTACGATATACCAAGGATTTTTGATAGCGTGGTTGCTGCTCTTGACTAAGCCCAAGAGTCGGTTTTTTTATTTCAACTGCGACATTGTCCCGACGAGCAAGAATGATACGAGCTGTTGCGAGCCAACAGCCGAGAAACGATAATGGTGTATTTTTCAAATTTTCAACGTGTTTTTTTGTTTTGCATGGCTAGGAGCGAGAGAATGGTTATTACAAGCCAAGGCGTTGGTAATGGGACTGCGGCCGAGTTGCTAGACAGCACTGGATTTTGGATGCACATACCCAGCTTTTCTAGAAGCATTGGAGGCGTTTTGATTTTGTACAGTATTGGCCCGCACCAAGTCGGGCTGTGAGGACTGAGCATGCGGAAAGAGATATTCAGGGGCGTGAGGGAACCTCGCTGGTGTGACGGGGAGACATTGGCATGTGAATATGCTGCAGGAAATAGAATAGCTTGAGGCTACCTTTTCCGCTTGATGGGATGAAACAGAGCTCTTTTCCGTATCCGGTGGTTAAGCTTCCCTTTGCTGATGTGGCTGCTTTGGAGGGTGTACCATCTTGACGCACGTGAGGGCACATTAAAGAGGCATCTTGTCGTCAGATGGTGTCTGGTTGCCAGATTGACACGGGACTGGGGAAGTGCCCAGGCAAACTGGGCCTTGTACAGGGTGCATTCAAGGGCCGTGCCTGTCAATTCAGACCAGTTGACATGTCCCCAGCTGTCACACGGGGTTACACGAGGGCTACGATCACGGGACCTAGGGCAGGAGACCCTCACCGACTTCTTGTAATGAAAGAGCTCTTTGGTCAACTAGGCCTTGAGGAAAACCAAGGGCCTTTACTGCCAAAGATTGTTTTTAGATGAATTGAGCCATGATGCTCCAAGCAAGCCTTTAGCTCTTGTCACACCAGTGAAAGGCTTATGCCGCTATTGCTACTTTTGTCCGCCACTGACTGATTACGCTCTGGTGTCGTGGATCGGCTATTCCAGCTGGATATATATATATTCTATATACATGTACCCTCGTTGACAGCATATCCACCTTGCCTGCTATCCTGCCTGTCGCAAAAAGAACATGCTCTCATTTCGAAGCTATTATCCCAGCTTATTATTTCCGTTGACAGCACGGATTGGACGCAGAACTGCCTGTGTAAAGGCAACAGGATGGAACAAGGCAACTTGTACTTGTATACCAAAGTCGACTTTGAACCATCAGTAGCAAAACAGGTCTTTGAGCATTACCAAATTTTCCGTGTGCAAGAGAACTTGTATCTGGAAGCTGTGGGAAATGTTCATATTGGACTTGGTTGCTCACACGCGATGCGAATACACACTCTTTGCTTTCATCTACAGTATTTGGTTTCCGGGTGACGGTTTGAGCATAAGGGAAAGGATGTTCCCAGCAGGTACGTCTTCGGCTACAAGATAGGCACACGTGCTAGTACAAGTTGGGAGGCAAGCCCAAACACAGCGATACAGCCTGCTCATCATCACGGCGACTACAAAGCATCGGCGCCCTCCGTAGCACCCTACGCGTTTTCCAACCCCCGCTCGCCCTGTCCCTGTCCTCGCCCGCCAGGATGCCGGGAAGCTTCCTGTACGCAAGCTGCCACGGGACGCCAAACCTGTGGCCGTTGAGCTCAAACTCGACGACGAGGTCCCTGCCCGCCGGGATAGACCTGCCTGGCTGTGACTTTCGAACGGGGGAAGATGGACAGGCCCGGTGCTACTTGGCGGCTTCCGCAGCCTCGCCGTCGAACCAGAGGCAGGTGATGAGGTGATTGGGCATGATCTTCTAGTCCCCCTCGCTTGCAAGTAAGCTTTTCTTGTCCGAGAGGGAGTTACAGATCTTTGGGGATTCGGAGCTTGGCGTCAGATTGCGTGGTATCTACGGCCCCTTGACACGGTTGATATGGTGTGTTTATACAGTTTGAGGCGGCCATGTGTGGGACGGCATGGCGCCCAAATGACATTCATCTACCGGCACAGGGATCCGAGCAAACAAGCATGGAGCTTGCACAGCTGTTTGCTGTCGGCTGGGATACCCTGGCGAATCGGATGCCGAAGCTTTTTCCTCAAACTTCAGCCGCAGGCGGGCGAGTGGCGTTGAATCCCGATTCCCGACCCGAGCGGGAGCGTGACATTTTCCCCGCAATCAGCTCGTGGACGATCACCCATCTTACCGGGAGAGTTTCATGTGTGGACCGGTGCGTGGGGGTCATTTTGGGTCTTGCATGTGCGGCTGCTGCCTATTTCGATGGCATTGACTCGGACAGAAATGGGCCGAGGTCAGTCAGCAAGACTTGCGGCGACAAGCGTGATTCTTTTTTTATGTCCATCTCGCCAAGCCAAGTGCAAATGTCGCCGCGAAATTAGTATCCCAGAGATTGTTTAGTCAGCCTGGTTGTGATTTGGATCCGCTAGGTTCGATCCCTGATGTAACTTGATGTAGCATCTCTGTTTACGTGGAAAATCTGAGACGCCAAAGTACGTTTCCCCGTCTGCACTTTCAGTCGAAACGAGAGCGTCAAGTTGTCCGTGTCTGCGAGATAAAACGGACCTTGTCATCCTGTTAGTTTTCATAAAAGTTATGACTATTATGGAAATAGCTCAATGCAACTTTACCAACGCGCACCTCCACGTACACTAGTCCCGACTTGAATCTGTGGATGTGAGGACAACGTACCAACAAGTGTATAGTGCCAAAGCCACACCGCCATCTACAAAGCTTAGCTTCAACCCTTAACCCATGAAAAGCGTTCGTCTGCTTCTGTGTCGTTTTACGTCATCGACCGAGGGTCCTGTCATCACGCTGCCGACCCAGTCTGTGCCTCAGGTTGTGGTGATGAGGTGATGCACCGTCGGTTTCCGATTCTCAAAGTAATTTGTATCATATGCCTTTGCATAAACAGTTAGTATTAATACTCGTGCCACGCCCTTGGCTCATGTCTGCCCAAATCCCAGGCACATACATGTCCACATTCTTTAGTGCCCCAGAAGCAGCCAACGTGGTCTTGAAAGATATTTTCGGTGGCAAGGTCGCCGGTGTGTCGCGTAGCTTATTCTTCTTCTTCTCCTCGAACTCGTAGCGACGACGTGCTTTCTGCATCACCAGATCTGACACGGCCCCCAGCCTGGCACAATAATAGACGGCTTGGCAGGCCGAGCACTGGTTTGAATGGTCTGAATGATGTTGGTTTTGATCTCGTTCTGGTCGATGCCGGTGAGGCCCACGGGCCACGAGTGACTCATAATAGGGGTCCTCCCGACGTGGTCAGGGCTCAATGACCATTGACCATTGACCGATGACCACCAGATTTTTACCTTTGTTCAACACATATCCCAGACCTATTGTTGGCGGAACAATACAATCTAACCCCTGTAAGTTTAGCCACCAGTGACTTCTAATAGAGCTTACAGGGGCTACAGGGCCAATAGGGTATCTAGAAGGAATAAAAGAACATAAAGCGAGGCAAAAGGTATTACATAAAGCATCGATTTTTAGTAGAAAAATTAGTACTTTATTCCAGGATTTATATTTCGCCATTCTCTTTGTATCGCAATAACAGCTTTTCCGAAAAAGAAAAAAAAAAATACACGGCCCACCCCGCCGGGGCCTGACAGCTGTTAGTGAATAACCTGCCAGCTGGCCCCATACACTGATGTCACACATGGCTAAACATTCAGGGGATATGTTGTATGTCTGTCAATACAATCCAAAACACAGTCTGTCTGCAGCATGTATCATGTAACGGCCCTGGCGTTGATGTGGTCTCTCGGCTGACATCGCAATGTTATTCTTCTCTGCCCTGCACTTGGTCTGCGTCCTTCACGCTCACAATCGTCATCAATCAATTCGTTCCCTACACGACACTCATCCTGGTATCACCACATCACCTTGAAGATGTACGAGTGCGACACTTGCACAAGGGAGTTCTACAGCGCCCGCTCCTGCGAGCAGCACATGAACGATACCGACCACTGGGGCCCACAGTATGAATGCGACACTTGCACCAGCGAGTTCCGTTCCGTACACGCAGTCCAGCAGCATATGAATGCCTTAAGCCACTGGGCACCTCGTTTTCCTTGCGACACTTGTTCCAGCAAGTTTGCCACGAAGAGCGCCGCCGAAGCACACATGCAGGCCCAAGGCCACTACCAGAATTACTGCAAGTCGTGTGACCGGCGTTTCGAAAATGCCAACAACCTCCAGATGGTAGATATTCCCCCCCAAAAACCCACGCCGCATCATGTCCAGAACGCCTTTTCTGGCGGGTCCAAAGCATCTTAATTCCAGGGTCCACCGGGAAACTTAGGTTCCATGCCCATTCTGCCAGACGGGCTTTACCAGCGCCAGCGGCCTCAGCCACCACCTCAAAACGGGTTCCTGCAACAACGCACCTTCACTCAACAGAGAGATAATACTGGCACTGATCCAGCAACGCGACCCTCATGGCGTCATTACGAACAAGCAGATCGGGTGGCACCCCGAAGAAACCACCACGTACAAGGCCAACCATTTGGCGTACAACGGGGACGCCTGGGAGTGCTACATCTACCACAGTCAATTCAACTCCCTACATGGATTGAACATGCATCTGAATTCTCCTACACATAAGGAAAAAGTGTACCATTGCCCGAATTATCGGGGTGGGTGCCCGAAGCAATTTGTGTCGCGGGCTGGACTATTCAATCACCTGGAGAGTGAGACGTGTTCGTATATGAGGTTTGACAAGGTGCAGCAGCATGTTGGTAGGATCCTTGATGGACGGAGGTTGATTGCCTTTTGATGCCGAGCCGGCCTCGTGTAAGTCGTAAATGTGCTTTGGGAGTTGGGGATGGGCGCCGAGCATGCAAGCAGGGTATTCCCCTGCAAGGCCAGGGCGCATAGACAAAGCGCGTGGTTTCGTGATATTGTTTACATTGTATTGGAAGTATAGGAATATGCGTTCTTGGCTGATTTGGTCAGCTTCTACGAGAGGCAGGTTTGGTGGTGTTATAGGGCTGCCTCTGTTCATTGAACAAGCAGACTTGGAGTAATTGCTTAGTGTTATAAAATCATAGATGTCAGAAGATGAGAGGCGGGCCAATTACCTGTAGTACCGTAGACTTTAATTATTACCCCTTCAACTTTATATTAACAAGCCTTTTTAAGCAAGTAGTAATAGTAATTTCAAAATCTGCACAAGAGAAATGAACTGCTTCTCAACCTTATAAACCCTGCCCTGTGTAAATGGACTTATTTCCGATAATAATAACTTGCCGTGATGACACATTTCACCTCCAGGAAACAAGAAGCGTCAAGTGAGGAAGAGAGTTGTCCCGATATACAACCAACTATGGAGTACTCCGCACTGCACACCGAAATGGCAGCGTCAGCCGCTAATTCTGTCGACCCTAGTGCCACCGATTGAGGCTTCCCTACGTCGTCTAATGCAATGGCAGGTTGAAGCCAGCAACCATACCCCTAGTCTTATTATAAACATTTTCAACACTGTCTTCAAGAGACCATGTTTGCTATTTACTAGGTTTCGCTTATACCACAAGGGTATATATTATACCACAAGGGTTGCTGCACATTATAGTGCTTCAATTATTATATTATAAAGCACTATTTTCTTGGTCTCTTACTGTTCTTGGCTTAGTACAGCCTAATACTACATTACCAGATATTATGCGTGCACGATCATTTGCCTTAAGAAGGAAACAACAAATAACTTGAATTATTATATTATATGGAGTTTCGCATAGCAGTAGCAAGTTAATACAACAAGAAACCACAGTGATACCAAAGTGTCAACACGTCATAAACATACCATGTATTGCCTCTGATTCGACAAAAGACTGTTTGATTTGGTAATGAATTCCGCCTCGCTTGTATGATATGCAGGCGGACAGTTGACAAGGTGTACATATCCGGTGGCAAAAGCACCAAATCCCGCCCGCTCATCTGCAAAAAATGCCCGTGCTACCTTTCCCAGGATCAGGATAGTTTCCTCCACCCTCATCTCGCTCAGCCTCTGTGCATTTATTCCTCCTCGACCAAATCCTCATTCCGCCCAGCAGGCGACCACGTCAACCGTACGCAAAAAGGAGGGTAGCAGCCCATTCCGCCTCGACCGAATGCTTCCAATGTTCTGCATTTTGTGGCTGCCGCTCGTTCTCATGCGGGCAACATCGACAAGCGGCCCTTGTTCCCCATCATGTGCAAATAATTGCGCAAAAAACGTTTTGCCCAGCAATGCGCGCAGCTGAAAGCTCAGCGGGCTCTTTTCCGCAACCGATTGACACCTTGTAATCATCTTTACTGTTCAGACAGGTGAGCAGGTTGGTTTGGGGTTGGCGTTAAGTCATCAGGCCGAGGCGGCGAAGCTGACAAGTCAAACACAACAGCGTATCTTTTGGGGACACAGCATCGGGCTGTGTGAAGAGGCAGCCTGCGGGAGAGCAAGTGCCTTCGATAACCGTGGGACGCAGTCTTTGAAGCATGTATCCCACAGGCCCGGCCTCTCTGCACATCTTGTCGGCGCTGTAACATGCTGCGCAGGAGAGGACGATTGGGTCTCGGTTGAAGATGGCATTTCCACTGGAGCTTCCTGGCAGGGCTATTTAACCGTCTGCGTACAAAGGCACTCCGTCGCGCGGCTGATGTGGGCGCATGTTGGCTGACGCTGGAGCAGCCTTGTAAGTTGTGCCTACCACGCCAAAGACGGGTCTTCACGACGAGATCAAGTTGTTGGATACGGTTTACCAAGGAAAGAAATTTGGCTGAGCCCTGCTTCAGCAAAGTTGACAATTGATAGCAGGGCACCGAGTTCCTTTAGGAGCATGTGCAGACGAAGCACTCGAGACTAATAATAGACTCGGCGCATATGGAGCATTGCCGCCCGCATCAATATATCCTGAGACTTGGCCGCAGGAGGCCGACCAGGTTACAAAATGGCTTTCCGCGTCAAATAAAATCGACATGGACCAATCGACGGTCAAACTGTAGAGTACAGCGTCTAGCAGGGCGGGCGAGATGGTTGGTTTGCTGCAAAGCCTCACACGTACACAACGTCTTCCCAGTTGCAACAGCCGAGATTGATAAATGGCAGCTGCCCAAGTAACCAAGAATGTCTTCTCATTTTCCGCTTCTTCGTAGCCTTATTCCATATGAATTTGCTTTTTGTCACTACCCTTGTAAAGCTGTGTTGTCTATTTTCCGTCAAACAACGTATGCCTGAAGAATCACAATGAAGGTGACTCGGCCGCTGAACCCAGAAGACTACCACATTGCAATAATTGCTCCACTGGAGATTGAGAACGTCGCAGCAACTCTGATGCTCGATAATAGACACGATGGCCGATTTCCCATGGCAAGAGGCTACGAGTATCTGTACACACCAGGCGAGATGGGCGGGCACAATGTCATCGTTGCCACGCTACCCGCAGGCGAGGACTGCGATTTGGGCTCTGCCGCCGCTCTTTCGAGACAAGTCAAGACGTTTTTCCCCAACCTGTGGTTCGGTCTCCTCGTCGGAGTTGCTGCTGGCATGCCCAACGTCGGCGGCGGTCAAGAGAGGGATATCCGACGCGGCGACGTGCTTGTGGCCCAACAAGACGGCGAGCTCCCAGGACTAATCAACTTGGAGCTGGGTAAATGGACCGAAAACGGATTTGTGCTTCGCCGCCGAGGCTGGCTGGACATGACTGACAAGCTCGTCAGGTCGGCAATCCGCCAGATCCAAGCAGGGGATTTCTTGCAAGACCAGCCTTCGTTTCTGAAGCACTACCAAGAGATGATGGGCAATCTAAACCACCCCGAGACATTCGCCGATCCGGGCCAGGATTTGGACCTGCTGTACGAAACTGGGGAGTCTGTAGTGAAGAGAAGGACTCGAGAGGCCGAGAAGCGTACCCGCGTATGGTATGGTATGATTGGCTCCGCCAGCACACTTGTAGAGAATGCTTCGAAACGGGACGAGTTGAGGGACAAGCATAACCTTGTCGGTATTGAGACGGCAGCAGCCGGCATAGTACCCATCATTCCGGTCGGCGTCGTTCGTGGCGTTTGTGATTACGCAGACGAAAGGACAAACGAAGCCTGGCTACCCTACGCAGCAGCCATGGCAGCAGCCTATGCCAAGGAGATTATTCTGCAGATAGGACCCCCCGAACGACCTAGAAGAGGTGCGTGTCGACCTGTGAATGGGCAAACGGAGTAGGTAGAGTACGTATTGACTTGTCGTTGCCCATTTAGTATGCAGCCTGTCCTACGCAAAGAACTTGTGCTTTGTAGGACGTGAAAACACCATTGACAATATTCGACACAAGCTCTTCTCCCTGGGGGTAAAACGAGTGGCGCTCTCCGGGCTCGGTGGAATGGGCAAAACGCAGGTTGCCCTCGAGATGGCGCATCGGGTCAAGGAAGCAATGGAGGATTATTCCGTCATCTGGATGCCGGCGCAGACCATGGCTGCGTTTGAACAAGCAGCCGCGGAGCTTGTCCAGACTCTTGGTATAAGCTCTGGCCTCGGCGAAAATCCACCAGAAACCCTTCAAGCCCATCTTTCCTCTGATGCTTCCGGACCGTGGTTCCTTGTCGTAGACGGTGTCGACGACATGTCTCTAGTTGACGCAACACCCGATGATCCTCGCCGCCTGCTCGACTGCCTTCCTCAGAGCCCGAGGGGCAGAATGCTCATCACCACACGCACGTCAGCGGTCGCAAACAGCCTTGCGGACCCGCAGAATGTTGTCAAATTAATAGAAATGTCGTTGGGCGAGGGGAAGCGCTATCTGGAGACGTGTCTCAGCGACAACCGCGAGCTGCGAAGAGACGACGTTGATGAAACTCTCTCTTGTCTTATGGAGAGGCTCGAGTATCTTCCTCTCGCCGTGGCACAAGCAGTCACTTACATGAATGTAAACTGCATGTCCGTCAGCGAGTTCGTACGTCACCACGGCGAGATGGAGCAGGACCGTGATAATACCGGCCCGACTCACCTTTTTGGCTCACAATTGCGCAGTGAAACATTCCACAGCAGGAGCCAGGGGTCTATATTAACTACTTGGTATGCGTCGTTTATGGCAATTCGCAACACAAGTGCCCATGCTGCCCAGTTACTGTCTTTTCTCCGGTGGACAAGTCCAAAGGGTATACCTACCTCGGTGCTCCCTCTTGGACGAGGGCCCAAGAAGGCCGAGGCAATCAATTTGCTCTGCTCCTACAACTTCTTGAGTCGGCGAGAGGGTGGCAGGATTCTGGACATGCATCGCTTGGTGCATCTTGCCCTCAGGTCCTGCTCGAAACAGCTCTTCGACGAAGAACAGACGCAAGAGACCATCTCTCATCTCAACCGAGTATCCCCGATATTCCCAAACGAGCATGTCCAAAAGCAGGAGTTGTGGCAGTCAGATCTTCCGCATGTGCTTCCGCTTGGCACAGGGGAGACAACACACGATCCGCAAGCCCGTCTGGAATTTTTTCGTCACACCATGTTTACGCGGGGATTGGCGCTGGAAAACAGCTGTTGCTAGGCACTCAGCAGGTGGTGGAATTTGAAAAAGAAACCTCGTCCCGGGATAACCAAAAGAGACTTCAGATACAGAGCGAGCTCGGGATGTCAGGTACAGCTGAGCCGGGCAGTGTCATGGGGCGATTGCTATCCTTGAAAACCTAGTGTAGCGAGCCAACTGGCTAGAGTCAGCCATGGGACATGACGTAGTAAAATGGACCAGACGAGAATACAATGGAAATACTAGGTGACCGTGTGCTTCCTGCGAAACATCTTCTTGCAGAGGTACTTCTTTCGAATGGCCAAGTAAAAAAAGGTCTTGCGCTGCTGCAAGACCTGGTAAATTCACAGAGGAATACCCTGCCAGAAACCCACGAAATGCGCCTCAAGTCACAGCTCCAACTGGCAAAAGCATGGATGGCTCATGGACATCTCGAAGAGGCTATTGGCCTGCTCAAGCTTATTGTAGAAGTCTGTCCACCAGCGGTGGAAAAAAAGAGCCTAATATTCCACAGTATTCAATTGCAGCTTGTATCGGCCCACGACAAAATCGGCAAGTTCAAGGACGCAGACAAATTGGTAGAGCATGTCAGGGCGACAATGAAGGAGGCCTTCAAAAACACCGAGATGCCTTGGTACTAGACGGACAGCGTGTGAATGGGGGCTATATGGGCAAAACACAGGGTTGATGGCCATGGCATCGATGTTTTCCCCCTTCCGAGACACTGTATGCTCACTACTCAATATCACCATGCTTTCAAGAAGTGCGCGCAATCGGTATTACAATAGAGCATGGCTGCAAAACACCCAATACCCATGTCTAAAACCATTGTACTCCTAAGGAAGAGCTCAAGGCCATTTGGCACGCCATACATGGCGTTTTCTGACTTCGTAAAACGTCAAGCACAAAACGGAGAATGCGATCCAACGGTTGAGAGAGCGGCCCTATAAAAAATCTCCCGGCACGCCGTGTTATCGACTCCTTCCCCACTGATCTTGACCATTTACATGGTAGGGATACCCTCATATTCGGCACACTCTAACGCAAGGTTCATGTTTCTGTGTAGCCAATATTAGCACATCACTTCATTCGACAAGATTGGAGGTCCAAACATACGCAAACACTGTGTCGCAGCACCTTTGAGCAAGTTGTCTATGCTGCCACATATGACTATCGTGCTATGAACGGCGAATGCACCAATTCCACGCCGTGCTTGTTCATGACGTTCTTGAGGAGCGGCGCCTCGCCGACGACGACGACGAGCCACCAGCATACCGGTCCTGGTAGATTTGTCGAATGTCGCGAGAGGTCATGGTCTTGTTGAGAGGCATGTTGAAAGATTGGAACTCCAGAGCATAGCACGGCCGTGGGAGATGGATTCATCATACACGGGGGCCAGGGCATCAGATCGGAGGTCGCAGCCGTAGTAGAAGAGAACGCTACCGTTATTATTGAAACTGCCATCAGGCTTCTCAAATACGCAAGTGAGATTCTCGTCACTCTGACGGACGGTCCAAGCAAAGCTGGGATAGTCCTTCTTAATCGCGGGGGAAACGTTTTCAGCGACATTCATCAACCAGCCAGACTTGGTGATGGTCAACGTGGCCAGAGTAAGCCATAGCACGGTCCTTGTTAGGCGGCATGACAATAGATAGACATTGCATAGTGTCGTAATAAGCAGTGAAGGAATTCTCTTGAAGGAAAGCAATATATCGCTCAACAGTAGCCTCGGCGTCCAGACCTTCGCGGTACCCGAATCAAAGACGCCTCAAGCTTTTCAAGGTCCTCGAATTCAGCAACAGAAGAAACCTTTTACATCTTATCACCACGACGGATAAGAGTACCAGCACCAGAATCAGTAAAAAGTTCCTTTTGCATCTCGCTCGGATGGATGATGGCAACACTCGAGCTGCGTGGAAGGGTGTCTAAAAGCTCCTTAATCTCCTTAATCTTAAGACGAGTGCCGTACCGGCACCAGGGCTGAGACATGAGATGATTGAATTCTTTATCCAGGTTAATGTGGGAGATCTTCTCGCCTTCGCCGTCAAAAAGTCCCCCCTTTTCGGAGAGGTAAAGAATTTTAAGAGGCTCCAAAGCACGGGCAAGTTCACCGGCAGCGACATCTGCATTAACGTTGAGTAGTCTGCCATCCTCAGACTCAGCCATAGAAGTCAAGATGGGAATGTATCCGGCCTCGATAGACTTTTCGATGGCCTCCTTGTTAACCTTGGTAATCTTGCCCACATACTGCCACTTTTCCTTGTCGAGATAATCCGCCATAAAGACTCCACTCAATGAACGGGTGGCGACACCAAGTTCATCCAAACGATCAATAAGTCGTAAGTTTTCCTCGAGGAAGAGCTTTCTGGCGACACCAAGCGTCTTAGCATCCGTCACACGGATACCTTCCTTAAACTGAGGTTCAACGCCAGCTTCTTCCAGAAGCCGGTTTAATTGGGGCCCGGCTCCGTGGACAATTACAGGATACAATCCCACTTCGTATAGAAATAGCAAGCTCCTGCAGAGCTCACTAATATATTCCGTCAATATGGCACCGCCGACCTTGATGACGGCGAACTTCTGGGATGAAACCGAAGTAAACAACTTGAGGTACTGCTGGTTGCTGCCAATGTTGCTCACAGTCTGGGCAACAATCTCTCGTGCACGGTCTCGGGCAGGTGGTGATGCCAACGCGGTCGTGGTGGAGAGGGCTTGGCATAGGGCGACATTGGGACGTCGGATCTGTCTCGGAGCCGCGACGGACGAAGCTCCAGCTACTCGGGATACAGCTCGTCGTGAGCCTGCCCGCAAGGAGGTAGCTGTGACAGACAGCATCGTCCTGATTGAAGATTGGGAGGAATGGACGACACAAGAAAGAGTATGGTGGCTTGCCGTGAGAGAATCTGTCGTGGGGCGAAGAGCTTGAGTGCAGCGTACTCGGTACCTAGCCCTGGCAACTGGGTACTTGAAAGGCCGTGTTTGATGCCAACAAGCCAAGTCAGCAAGACGTCGGGGCGGGAGGAAAGGTCCTGAGGCAATTGAGGTCGAGTGCAGGGGAGCAGAGAAGCTCTGCGAATGAGAGCAAAAATATCAGATGGGCGGGCACAGGGAGCCTGGTGATATATACTTGGTAGTGTGTATGCAGTATGAAGGTATGCGGTCTGCCGACCCGCCTACCAGCCGGCCGAATTGTCAGTTCTTGCCGTTTCGGCAACTGATAAAAAAGACCGCATACCTTCCAACCTTGACTTAGTCTCGTGCAAATTACAAACCACCTAGTGTTGCGTATATGTACTCGCACAAATGCGGCCTGAGCATGTTCACAAGACACAGCTGCCCATGAAAGAACGACTGTAGAATCTGGCACTCCGGTCCGGTCCATCAGCTCACCATGTCGAGTCTCGACCTTGCGTGGTTGCGTAATTGTCCGAGGTTTCATTGCGTGCCGCTTTATCCAGAGCTCGCACGTCCCCCTTTTCCGGCAAGCTGTGGCCGATATCCCATTCCAGTCCAGTGCGTGAGGCTTTTCTAAATGTCAGAGCACAACCCAAGGCCCGGTTGTCGATGCAACCTGATACTCGGCCGGCCACGACATTCCCCAGCTTTCGGCCTCGCAGCATCTCCAGTATCCAATCGAACGGCGCGTCGTCACATGCAAATTAATCAGCACACAATAGGTAAGAATAAAACGACTAAAATATCTCAATTATACTGTGTGCAACGCCAAACCCTGAACCATACATATAGGCTTGGGCTGCTCCCAACTAGCCACACCGATAGCTGGTTATCAGGCTGCCGACACTCGCCAGTGGCGAGTGTCATGGCCATCTTCCAGAGACAAAGCAGAGCGGGCAGAGTGAGCCCAAAACAAACTACTCCAGCTCCAGGTGAGCCAACTCCGTCGTGCTCAAAATGAATATTTGCGGTGTCGATGGCTTCATCGCCTTGTTGTCGCAAGTTCCGCTGCCGTCGCACATAACTAGTTCCACAACGGTATCTAGACTGTCGCTCCATTCTTGCTAGAGCCTGTACCCAAAAAACAAAAGGATCGCGATTAATGACGAGTGGCAACAACTAGAAGAATATGTTAGACAAGACCCACGTCCCGAATGTAATGAACCCCAGGCAAAACAATCACGTACCAGAAGGGATGATAATAACAAGCAGAAGGATAATGATGCCAACAATCAAACACATGCGCATCTTCATGTCCTTCCACCACATTTGCTTGCGAACTCTGTTGGCGCCGCGACGGAATTGTTGGGAAGAATCCGCTAGGTTGCTGGTCTTGTCTTGCAGGCCATCGAGGTTTTCCCCTCGATCCTTCATCGAGTTAAGATTGTGGCGCGAGATTTCCGTCGCCGCCGCCAAATCCTATTACGGTTCAGTCAGCACTGCTGGGCTATATTTGGCAGCATTTCGTGCATTGTGCTAAAGAAATAGTCATGGCCAGGTCAGGTTCCGACTGTCGCTGTCATTCCCACAGAGTGACTTTTAACGGCTTCAATAGCTGTTTGTCTTCTGGCCGAACAAACTTTGGGGCACAGTAGCTAGGCATAGAGAGTATTCAACAGCCTAATTTCGAGGCCGCACCAAAGCATGCCATTCGTGTCTCAATAGGAACAAGTACCTACCTTCTGAATTGTTTGTATTTTACCATCTTGAGCACTGCCATCGAAATTTTGATTGGTGTTGGACGGCGTCACATCCTGGGAGCTGTAATGGCCACCTTGCCCGTAGGATAGGTTGTTGGACATTTTGAAGAGTTTGGTGACTATAGGTTCGGTCGGCGGATGAAATAAATTCGGTGCAAAGTCAAGAGAACTTGCGATCGGACAGACGAAGAGCGTTCAAAAATTTGATGACAACGATGTTGACAGATGCGCAGCGTGAGAAGGACGATTTGGTCAAATGTGTTGGAAGAACAGGATTGACAGATGAGATTCCGAGTTGGCAGAGGAGGCAAGACTGCGCCCACCCCCCTTCTCGAGTAGCCGTCTCCTGGTTGGCGAGGCGAAGCGCCTACCGACATGCTTGGCGATTATGACCATGTACACGGAGGGCACGGAGCCACTCGTTCCGGCCTTCCCTGCAAGTTGTACTCCGTATGTATTCTGGTGCTTCTACAACAAACACTCTTGATTTCGAAGCATTGGCCGCTATTGCGTTTGTCACTTTGACACACGTCACTGTGTGATTCTTGATCAAACCCTGCACATGCAGATGGGTGCTCGATTTCTGCTCATTGCCGGAAGGAGCCCCAAACGTCAGTGCAAGCGGATCTGCCCCCATGCGTTAGCATAATAAAGTAAGCCTTGTCTACGGGTTTAATACTAATATCAACGGTTGTCCCATCATTATAATGCTGAGCCTGCAGCCTGACGTGATTATTTTGTTGTCTCCATTTTCGTCTCATCGACAGGGCACGGGCCCACTCCGCACGGTGTACATGTAAGAGCCAGCCGAATTTGCCACAGTGACGAATCTGCGTCAAGGTCATGTGTCAGAGTGAGTAAGTTCACGTGATTTACCCAGCCACGAGCACATTGCTAAGCCACAGAATTGCTGCTTGTCGTGTCCTTGGGAGAGGAATCAAGGATTAGAAGAGAGCAGTATGGCCGGGCTGGCTGGCCTTGACGACTCCTGATAGCTCCAATTTGTTTGACGGGTGGATTTCTAAATCCGTTCATAAAGTCGCGGACAGCATATACCTGCGTTAGCATGCGGCTTCAGTGCAATGGCGAGTCGTGCTGATCTTGAAGATCGTCGCAGAGGTGTTTCAGAATAGGGACGGACAACGAGGCACGAATGCAGCAACTCGACGCGAAGGATAGAGCGCAATTGCTGTCACAAACGTACAACCAACTCAAAGACGTGGCAGCGAGCAGACAACTATCACCTTGACGGGATACCAGCCTTCCAAGTTTAGCATCTCGATGGCGTCTGCAGGTTGATTGGGAGCGGGCAGTCATGCTACGTACTCGTACCCATGCAAGGGAAGCAGGTCCAAGAAGATCAGCTTTGAGTGAGTTGGCTGGCCAACATCACTTGTTCCCCATGCCAGACTACGTGGTTATCAGGCACGGAATGCAGAGCACCAAGGTTAATTCAGGATGCCGTTTTGCTACCCAATCAAGCTTAATGCCACGGCAATGCAAGCCTTGGTTGACAGCCCTTATTAATGGACCTGGTGGTGATGACACGATGACACGACGGCACGACCAAATACGCAGTTGTGGCTCGTGACATTACGATGACGGTCATTATTTAGCATTACCTACCTAGGTAGGCGGGACAAAGACATCGAATGCGGCATCCGGAGGTTTATGTGGTACTTTGTGCCCTGCAATCGGTTGGTTTGGTGGCGCGGCCGCAACTATTTCGTGGTTGAATCTGGCCCGCCGTCAACTTGGTTGGTTCTGCGGGTATTCCCCGCTCGATTCAGCAGCGTATCACGATATTGTACAACGACACGAGTTTAGGAAGCTTGAGTTGCCAAGTAGACTGGATGACCCTGGCTGGTGATCACAATGTACCTTCTGTCCCGAGTGATGTACACGAGATGAATTAATTGGGTTGCGATCATTAAGAGACTCTGCGAAGCAAGCCCGGATGTGCGCGAGAGAGATTCGTGTTGAAGGATGGAGGCCAGACATTGAGAGGTCCCAGCCTCGATGGTGACGCAGCACCTGCATCCCGGCCTGGTTGCATGGCTGCGACTAATTGCCGCCAAGAACGGACATCGAGCAACTTCTCAAGTACGGCGTACGGAGTACTGTGACAGACTTGACATTACTCCGTAGACAGCTGGCATCAGAGGTATTGCATCGTGCTTGGGGACCAGTTAAACTTTGACCTGGCCGCTTGTCACACCTCCTCTCCCCGCACGTGGCCGTCAAGGAGTTATCAACCCAACAAATCTATTTTTGTTTATGGGATTGGCACAAAGACTGGGTATTGGTTGCTGTTTGAGAAATGCCTTTCCGGCACAACAAGGGGTACATTGGTGCGGCAGAATTACCTGGTCATGTCTAGACATTGTCGCCCGAAGATGACAGGTAATTCCGAGGAATCTATTGCACCCGCGAAGTTAATCCCCTGTGCAATGTTGCAGGACATCGAAGCTCGTGTCGGCCAAGTTGGGTCGCTTGCAGCGTGGACAGTGGAGTCGCCCGGCGTCATCGGTTGTCCGCAGTGGCCTACCTGCTAGCTGTGGCTTCCTGTAGTGGCCTCTCCAGGCTCCAGATGTCAAACCAGAAGACCGACCTGACTGCGAGAGCTCGCGTTTTTGCGCACCAGCTCCGTCCACCCAGGTGCTGAAGTACTCACCATAAAGTACTTAAGTAGGTAGAGACTTGGGCACATGCAGGTGCCTATGTCACTAGTATGGACGACGTCAGGCCATCTGCCCGTATCTCGTCCGAAAGAAGAAAGGCAGCTGATATTTCAAAGGCCATGCATATTTTAGCCTCGATGGAGCTGCTATAGTTCGTATATCATGTCCATACACACGTAATAGACTTGCATACACGCATATTGAACCGCGGTGTGCCCCAGATGCCGACTCTGGCATTCGCAATGGGAATTCACACCAATGAGTCCTGTGTATTCTCCAACTCATTCATATTCTTATACACATGCGCAATTGCATGCACGCTCTCACGTCCCCATGTGCATGTACACTCACTTGAGCGGGAAGTCGCTCGGCCACTCCTTCCTTCCAACCTAGATATTGGAAACAAACCCAACGCAATGGATGATGGCCCATTTATCAGGACGACCACTTTCTACCTCTTCTCTCTGAGGGACACGCCGACTTGTCCAACCTAGAAACCTTTCTCTTCTTCGACACTGGCTGCATGTGAATCTTGGCCTTTACCAAGCTTTTCGCAATACTACCCGACGTTGCCCAATTCCGCCGCCCAGCCCCCCCGCGCCTCCCGTCTAGCCGGTGACGCTGACATCAAGGTCCTAATCCATCCTGAAGTTCCAAACTTACCTACATCAAACAGTTACATCACCGCATTGAGCGTTTAGAACACATGCCGCTCACACTGATTGTCGCCTGAAGCATCCAGTCGTCCCTAGCAAACAAACAAGTTCAGTTGCTCACCTTTGTTTCCGTTCCCCGGCCACACCCCAGGCAGTGAGGGCATTGACCGGCTGCGGGCCATTGGTCAAACTCGTCTCTCATGAACCCTTCCTCTTATACGACCAACAAACGTTGACGCCCATCACGCCCATTACGCTCATCTGCGACTTCGCTGCACTATTCCCCACTCACACGATTTGCTCTGTTGGCAACTGGCTTTCTTCTCGTTGCTCGAGTCTGGCGCATCATGTCGAGTACATCCTGTTCCAGCCGCACTAGATCATATTAAGCTTGAAGTTCGGAGACAGCTCGCCAGCCATCTCAAGTCTCCACAGCGTCCTGGGTATTCTTGCCGTCGTTTCTTCATTCTTTTGTTGAGAGTCCCTTCTTCACTCACTCCTCTTTCCACCATTTTACACACACTTATCCTACAACAGTCTCAATCAATGCCCTATTCTCTTGAAGTGGACGGTTGTTAGGTGTATGGACCGGCACCAGCTTATCCGGTGTTAAAACGCCGTTTGCAAGCCGTGGTTCTCAGCACCCCATCCACCTGGATCATGGTCGACCGTCTACTTGGAGTCAACTTTGCCAAGATGTTGGCTACAACAATGCTAATAATGGCAGGTCCTCTTGCTTTGGCATACGAGCTAGATACCAATTCAACCAGTGCGTATACCCGTGTTTCTTTTCTACTATAGATCCTCGCCACCCCTGCCTTGGAGAAAGTAGAATCACATCTGACCCGAATCCCCGCAGCATCCATCCTATCCGTGGCCAAGCAAATGACAGCGGATCTCATGACATTTTACGATGGCGACAAACCTGGAGGAACTCCCGGTCTCCTTCCGCAGCCTTATTACTGTACGTCAAAATTCGTCCTGCAGCGCAATTCCCCCTTGTGATCCTTGTTATCTGACACATCTCAGGGTGGGAGGCCGGTGCAATGATGGGCGCTCTTATAGACTACTGGTATTACTCCGGCGATGATCAGTACAACAAGCTTGTGGAACAGGCACTGTTGTTTCAAGTCGGGGATACCAATGATTATATGCCCCGAAACCAGACATTGACAGAGGGAAACGATGACCAGGGATTTTGGGGGCTCGCTGTCATGAGTGCTGCCGAATACAAATTCCCCGACCCGCCATCGGATAAGCCCCAGTGGTTGGCGCTGGCTCAGGCTGTATTCAACACCCAAGCCAGTCGATGGGATACCGAACACTGCAACGGAGGTCTGCGATGGCAGATCTTCAAGTGGAACCAAGGCTTTGACTACAAAAACTCCATTTCACAAGCGTGCTTCTTCGCACTCGGCGCAAGACTTGCTCTATACACTGGCAACAACTCATATGCGGAATGGGCCGAAAAGTCTTGGGATTGGATGATAGACGTTGGGTTTATTGACAAGTACTGGCGTGTCATTGATGGAGCCCACATTGGTACTAATTGTACTGATCACGTTCCCTATCAGTTTTCTTACAATGCCGGTGGGTTTATCCTCGGTGCCGCCGCCATGTACAACTATACAGAAAATCCTGTTTGGAAAGACAGGTTGGACAATCTGCTCGGCGCGAGTAGAGTCTTCTTCACTGGGCCAGACAAAAATATCATGACCGAAGTCGCTTGCGAACCCGTAGACCGCTGCAACTTGGACCAACAATCTTTCAAGGCATACCTCAGTCGCTGGTTTGCCGCCATCACCAAATGGGCACCTCATACTTACGACTTTGTCATGCCATATCTGCGGGCGTCAGCTGTCGCCGCAGCCAAGCAATGCGTTGGTGGTAATAACAAACGCATGTGCGGCCTCAAATGGAACCAGGACAAATATGACGGCTCGACTGGCGTTGGCCAGCAGATGGCAGCAATGGAAGTGACTCTTGCTTGTTTGATACAAGATCGTCCTGCTCCAGTTAGTCATGGCAATGGTGGCACCAGCAAAGGCAACCCGGGCCTCGGCGGAGGTGATATGGGACGGAATGAGCCCAAGTCTCCAGGCTACAAGGCAATAACAGCTGGCGATCAAGCAGGGGCTGCCATTTTAACCATCGCCCTCCTCACCGCTCTAATTATTGGTATTGGATGGATTTTTGTGGATGAAACATCAGACAAGCCCCCCCTAGAGCAGTTCAAAGGCGTCCGAAAATCTACAAAGGCAGCGATTGTCGCGGTCGCCGGCGCTACTCCAAATAGGCCAATAATCGGGAAAGGCGGTTTCATAATCAATGCAACTAGCAAAAGAAGCTCAACCTCTAGTGTTCTCGAGAATAACCAGGCTATAGAGGCTGCGGCTGTCAGAATCGGCCGTGTTCGTAGTGAGAGCGTGGGAACCCAACGAAGATTGTCTAATATGCCAATCGGTTGGCCGCGACAGAGCCCAAACGTATCCAGTGGTATATGGCTTGACACTCCGGAACTCCCTTCACCTACATGGCAAGGGTTAGGACTTAAAGGGGATATACATGGTGCTTCTGATGGGGAATCATGATTTCAGGGACCGGCGTTGGTTTTGGGATGACATACGAAGCGCGATTTTTACATGAGATGCACGATATTCTGGCGTCAAAGCCACGGACTGAACATAGTTTTCGACAACTAGAACCACGACACACTTATGCGCATGGCGTGTGCGCAGTATAAACACGATTAGAGAGTGTATAAATTCCAACCCAAGGCGTATATTCCTGCTCATGGAAAAAGAGGGTAGAAAGAATGACCTTTCGCTCCGTTCGTATTCAACCGTAACCTCAATTCTACTCAACTCCATCGCCCTGCTTACACGTCTGCAAGACACGCTCCATCCCCCTACTAATGAACTTATCCATGGAGCTGACGGGCATCCCCCACGCCTTCACCCTCTCCATATCCAAGATTCCACACACTCTGCCAAGCCTTTCATCATCAACATCCCAGTCACAAACAGATTAGAGCCCTCAGCGATCTTCTCATCAGTCATATACACCATTTGCAATTCTCTCCCCGTCGCTCTGCCCAACTTTCCCAACACTTTATCCACCGTTGAAAACTCGTCCACCAGCTCAATCTCCTGCTTGTCGAATCTCTCGGGACCCAGAAACGCGGCCGCGCCAAATCTCCCAATCGTGTCCGCATCGACCCCGGTATGTACAATGGCGTCCCGCTGCATGGTCGTCCGCCAACGTCCCTGACTCACTGGTCCACGAGCCCGGTGTACATGCGCACCAGGGGCCGGACGTGGTTGCTCACAATTTGTAAGAGTCGGTACTTTGTGGCAGCGTATTCACAGCTCTCCATTCCGGCGATGGGTGTTTAGTTCCCCTTCACGACGTCGGCCAATTACCAAATCGGGAACTCTGCTAAACAGCTCCGCATCTCGAATCCCGCCGGGCGGAGTTCCGCCGACCCACTTCGCCGGGACGCACCGGCATTTCCTCAATGAGCCTCAGTCTCAACCGTGGTGACACCCGCTCTTATACAAGGACGGGATGCCCGAGTCCATGCAAAGTCAGTCCTCACTGCAAGAGTCGGGGAGGCGGACAGTCTTGTTTTGCTTCTTCTTCCTGCAGGCGTACTGGTTAGGGGTCTAGAGTGCGATGGGAAGCTGGGACTCTGTCACTCGTGGAGCGAGGCCGAGGCCGGTGATGTTGATCGGTGTAAGAGGATGTGGATTTCGAGCCCGCTGGGGATGGAGGAGGCGGAGAGGTAATTTGCAACCAGGGGGGGGTGCGTTGAGGGCATGGGCGAATTGTCATGAAATATCGCCTGTCATGCGATTGCTTGGCTCATTGTTTCGGCGTTGGTTTCGTAATGACTCGCGCGTGAGGCCAGTTGTCATATCTCGGGGCCCGCACCGATGCCAACGACGGGATGAGATGTCATTTTGGCCAGATATCACACATGGCAGGAGAAGACTGTTTTTTGCTTCACAAAATCTCGAGTCTGACTTTGCACCGACTTGGTCTGTAGCCCATGGTTGTGTAGTGGCAAGACTCAAAGAGGTTGAATTGCGCCTCGCATACCGGGTAGGCTAGCCTGCCCCAGAGTTCCATTATCCCTGCGGGACCCTCCGGGTTTATTTAATCATCTACGTTGCCCGACCTAGGCGCCCGGGAGCCTTTCCAACATCGCCTTGTCCATCAACATCCAGCCTGCTCTGGGCCATCGACGTTCCATCAATGACCCCCCGGCACGGCAGGTAGCCAGCTCTTTGGAGTCGACGAAAATGGCCCCCAAAAGACTCGACACAAGCCAGCCCAAGGGTGAGCGCGGTGACGGCGCATCACTCCTCTCCCCCATCGCATACGACGACGACGCAGCGTCCCTGCATTCCCGCAGCGACCAAGACACAGACAGCGATGACGACCAGCTGCAGCTACGGGCGCGAAATAGCCGCGAGCTGCGCGCTGCGGATAGGATTGTTCTCATGGAAGAGGAGGAACTCGACCGTTTGGTCACCACGTCCAGACGGGAACAAGAGCGTCAGCGACGGGGCTCCGGGCTCTCGGTTCCCAGTGCGTTGAACATCTTTGCCCGTCGAGGGAGCTCATCGCAGCTGTCGTCGCCGAACGCCTCCATGGAGAACTTGGTTTCCGAGAAGCGAAAGGCCAGGCGCTCTAGGAGAAAACAGAAGAGGAATAGACTGATCCAGGATGCTCGTCATGGCGAAGACGGCGAATTAATGTACGAGATGGAGGAAGGTGGCATGAAAGACGGCAGCTCCACGGGCGACAGCACCGAACGAGAAGATAGCGGCGAAGCGGATCGACGACGACTAAATCTGGTGGCACAAGCTAGGGACAGCCGCGGCCGTAGTTGGCGCCGATGGGTATTTTGGCATTCACTCATTGCCATTGGATTTGCCATTCTCGTCCTGGTTGCGTGGAAGTTGTCGAGAAATCGTAGGAGTGCCCTGCCCAAGCAGCACCTGGTCAGCAATGGAACGGCCCTCTTCGCCCCAACCACCATCATTCTGAGCTTGGATGGCTTCCGAGCGGATTTCCTGCAGAGAGGGTTTACGCCCAGGCTCAATGCCCTTGTGAAGGAGGGCATCTCGCCGCAGTACATGATGCCGTCTTTCCCGTCTCTTACGTTCCCCAACCATTTCACCCTGGCCACGGGCTTGTATCCCGAGTCGCACGGCATCGTCGCCAACAAATTTTGGGACCCAGACTTGAATGCCGAGTTTCACCACACAGACCCGGCAAGGAGCCTGGACCCCAAGTGGTGGAACGGAGAGCCGTTCTGGGTGACGGCCGAGAAGCAGGGAATTCGCGCGGCGGTGCACATGTGGCCGGGCAGCGAGGCTCCGATCCAAGACACCTTTGCGAGCATTGTCGATAAATACAATGGCAACGAGCCGCTGGACAGCAAAGCCTCCAGGATTCTGGGCTTCCTCGACATGCCGGGAAAGGAGAACCCGGCTGTCGATGTCAAGGATACACGGCCGCAGCTGATCGCGGCGTATGTCCCCAACGTCGACACCGATGGTCACAAGTATGGCCCGAACAGCACGGAAATCATGTCGACGATTCAAAGCGTGGATACCATGATTGATAACCTCTCCAAGGGCCTTGACGCCCGCAACCTTACGAATATCGTCAATGTCATTGTTGTGTCTGACCACGGCATGGCAACCACGGATACGTCCCGTGTACTTCAACTCGAGGACCTGGTTGACACGTCCAAGATTGAGCATATAGATGGCTGGCCACTGTATGGCCTGCGACCCAAGGACGACAAGGATACCCAGCAACTATACGATGGGCTCAAGGACAAGGCCAAGTCCAACCCCAACTTTGACGTCTACCTCCGCGATGTCGACATGCCCCAGCGCTATCACTTCTCCAAGAACCACCGCATCGCGCCGTTGTGGATAGAGCCCAAGGTAGGATGGGCGATTGTCACCAAGGATGAATTCGTGGTGAATGAGGCCAAGGAGAAGGGACTCGTCTACCATCCTCGTGGCCTGCACGGCTATGACCACCAACACCCTCTGATGAGAGCTATTTTTATCGCTCGAGGACCAGCGTTCCCGCACCAGGGGAATAGCAGGGTCGAGCCGTTCCGTAAGTTGACCCCTTTATTTTCTTTCTTTCTTTCTTTTTTAGTTGCCCCTCGCCACGGGAAGCAGCTTCGCTAACACGGCTATCCGCACAGAAAACCTCGAAGTGTACAACATCGTATGCGACTCGCTGGGCATGGAGCCGCAGCCCAACAATGGAACGCTGAGACTGCCGCTGAAGCCAGTCGGCACCCACGATGACACGAAACCACAAGACACGCCCGAGGATCCACCGCCGCAAGAGTCGTCGGCTCACCCTACCGAGTTTGTCCCCACGCGGCCAACCAAACCCCGGCCCTCTTCGCCGGCGATTGGCGTTGATCCGCCGCCGAGCGCATCCGCTTCCGAGCCGTCCTTGCCGGCGGCTGATGCCCATCAGCCCACGCGGCCGACGAAGCCTAAAGCCTCTTCTTCACTGGCAATTGCTGATGATGAGCCAAAACGGCCCACGAGGCCTCCTAAGATATCTAGTACGGGAACACAACCCGCGGCGCAACCCACAGAGGGCAGTGGAAACAGGGACGACGAACAGGCGGCTGATGAGGATGGGTCGCCTGGGGATAAAGCCAAGGGTTGGTGGCGTTGGATTACAGACACGGTCGGCGGGATATGGGATTCCATCACTGGCTCCGGCTCCGGGTAGCTGGATATGTACATATTAATGCTCACTTTGTTCCTTGACAATGCCACTACTGCAGCAACGATGCGCATCTCGTGCAGGTTCCGTCTTAGGGAGCCTCCACCCTTTGACTGACGTGAAAATTGCGGGGGTCCCGGCTCTCAATTTCTCTGAGAAAATCGAGGTGAATTTCACAGAGCCAGCTGCGGAATCTACTCCGTGCCCGCCCACACGCCCGAAGGGACCTGCTCGCCGCAAAAGTACGTACGTAGCCTTTGATATGTGATTTTTCAAAGAATGCAGAATATTTGTGAGGCTAGGCATGCCCGTTTGGCAAAGTAGTTCAAAGCCCGCGGTGGGTTCAACTTACTTCTGGCACACAAGTTACATATCAAACGCCGTCACTGTCCACTGGCGATTGGCATTAGTCAACGACACAACTACACAACTACCAAGGCAGTTTTGATACGAGGCAGGGGTAGCAAATACCACAGGACTTTAAGCAGGAAACCGCGCTCAACGTTGAATAGAGTCCCCGCCAACTATGGCAACTACAGCGCACAATCCTTTCTTCAGATCCTGATCCCATTAAGCATTACTGGCATCATGAGTCATCGGGAGACGAAATCGACCTCTTGGCCGGGTCTCCAAGCGTTGCTCTTGTTGTAAAGGAGAATTAGGACATATATACGGACGGTAGTACTAACTGCATACATCTGTTATATATACGCTGCGTCTGGCCCAGGCTCTCTCATGATAGAATATGCTTCCCTTTGCCTACATCCACACTTCATTCGGCTTACACAACAACCAGTGCAGCAACTGCAAGGGCAAAGGCAGTGGCAGGACCAACAAAAGCGGCACCCGCAGTGACGGGGGTGTTGCTAGGTTGAGGGTTTCCGCCGCTGCCTCCGGAAGGCTGAGGGTTGCCTCCATTACCGCCCGTAGGCTGGGGATTACCCCCGTTACCACCAGTTGGCTGAGGGTTGCTTCCATTGCCACCGGTGGGTTGAGGGTTCTCGTTGTTGCCGCCAGTTGGCTGAGGATTTTCGCCGCTGCTTCCAGTGGGCTGGGGTTTGCCTCCATTACCGCCGGTTGGCTGAGGGTTTTGACTGTTGCCTCCAGTGGGCTGGGGTTTAACCCCGTTACCGCCGGTTGGCTGAGGGTTTTGGCTGTTGCCTCCCGTAGGCTGAGGGTTCTCACCATTTCCACCAGTGGGTTGAGGTTTGCCTCCATTACCGCCGGTTGGCTGAGGGTTCTCGCCATTACGGCTAGTAGGTTGCGGGTTTCCACCGTTGCCTCCTGTGGGCTGGGGCTTCCCAGGAATGGTCACGAATGTAGTTTCCTGTGGAGGTGGAGGAGGAGGAGGGTTCTGGCCGCCAGTAGGCTTGGTAGGCACAAGAGTCTGTGTTTGTGTTTCCTCAACGGGGCAAACAGTGGTATACACGGGGATGACCTCGGTGGTAGTGTGACCGACAGGGCAGTTGGTCACGGTGGGAGGGCATTCGGAAATCGTGTAGGTCTTGGTGGTATACACGGTGCTAGTGGTCATAATAGGAGCCCTAGTAGTTGTAGGCTTAGGGGGTTGAGCAGTCTCCGTAACAGGGCATACTGTGGTGTACACGGGGACGACTTCCGTAGTCGTGTGGCCAACGGGGCAGTTGGTCACGGCGGGAGGGCATTTGGAAATGGTGTAAGTCCTGGTAGTGTAAACGGTGCTGGTGGTCATGGCGAGTGACGTTGTAGTGTCTCCATGCGCTGTCGTAGTTGCCGTCTTTGTGGAAGGAGCGGAAACAGTAGCTGAACCAGAGCCCGTGGATGTGCTTCCGGGAGCCGTCGTGTTTTCAGTCTTGGTGGAGGGAGTAGAAGAAATGCCAGCACCAGAGCTAGTGGTGGCGCCTCTAGTAGCGGTCGTAGTGTGGTGGCCCTGAGTTGACGTCTCAGTCTCAGTGCAGGGTTCCTCGGAAGTGGTAGTGTGATGGTGCTTGCTCGTGGTGTGAGGCTTCTCAGTGGTCCCAGTCTCGGTGCAAGGCTCTTCAGAGGTGGTACTGTGTTGAGGCTCGGTCGTAGTATGATGAGCGTTGGTGGTAGTCTCGGTGCAAGGCTCTTGAGATGTCGTTGTGTGCGGCTCCTTGGTCGTAGTTTCGGTGGTTTGGGCCTTGGTGGTCGTTTGAGGTGGTGTTCCCTTATCAATACAGTTCTTCTCATTGAACTCGTCCTGTGCTTCCTGCAACACCTTAATGAGAGGGGCAGCGAGGTTCTTGGCAATGAGCTGGGCAATGGTAGGAACCTTGGAGACCACGGCGGCAATGAGGGCGTTGGAGCCGATGTTGATATTTATGGTCTGCTCGCGGACGAGAGGACAATAGTTGCCATTCTGAATTACGTCCTTCTTGGCCTTGAGATCCGCGAGCAGAGTCTCACCCTTGGCCTTCATAGCCTTGACGGGGCCCTGAAGGCCGAGAGCGTCACCCAATGTCAGATCGCCCTGAGCATCGACAGTAAGCTTCCCTTCCTGCAGTGTCTGAATGACGGCGGTTGCAGCATCCTGAACTGGTTTAGCATCGGTGGTAAATCCCTTGACCTGAGCATCGAGCTTTTCAAGCCCTTGGCCAACTTTGGTCATGACATCAGTGATGGCATTGATATCGCGTTCAACCACAGCAGCAGCAGGGTCGACGACACCGGCCGCAACGCCGGTAGCCAGACAGGCAACAGCAACGAACTTCATGTCGGCTTGAAGATTAGAGCAAAATACCCCGTACAGATCAGCAGATAACGAGTGACTAGAAGTTGGGATCACTTCAGCAGCTTGAACAGCCGGACGAGTTCTTCTGGCTCAGAAAAGAGTAAAAGCAGTCACTAGAACCAGTCCAGACAGCCGGCGTCCACCACGGGTGCTTTATATTATGTGACTACAACTAATTAACGGGGGAGCATCCAGTGATGGAGGAGTCGAGGACCACTCACATGGCGCTCACAGGGGCACCTGCATCTTGAGAACCCCATGGCGGGCTGTCAAATAAAGGAAGACTGTCTCTCGCCAACAGTAGAAAAGAAGCCATCGACAGGGGGTCCAATCGCAATCAAGAGCAAGCCTCTTGAAGTGGGCTGCATCGTGGTATCTTGAGGGCTGGGCGTACATACAACTTGGATACGGATACCCATCCCTGGGTAGTCGAATGCTACGAATTATCTCATCGGGTGAAAAGCCGAAATCGTGATGCCCCGGGTCTATGATGCTCGTCGTAGCGAGTTCGAGTTGAATTTAGACAGGCCATTACCTTGAGCTGACGGTCGGATTGCTCGGGAAGCCCGCCCCAACGTCGGCAGCGTCGTCTTCTTCAGTATACATGCCCGCATCTCTGGAAGGTGACGTTTGTCGAATGGTGGAAATCGTGATGCTTGATGCACCGTTACGGTTTCCCCGGTGGAGTCGCCAAGGTGGTCATCGGTCTGCAGCCACCAGCCACCAGACATGGATGATTATTCGTTCCTGCAGGGGGGATTGTCAGGGCCATGCAGGCCAAAGACCAACATTGAAGGATCGGCGTGTCTTCCGGAGGCTTACATCAATTGTACTGACGAGGTGACGGTGCCTGTCTTCCGCGGCCTTTGCCACATTTGGCCCCTGACTGTGACTGATGGTGTCAGCCTTAAGTCAGGAACTATCGAAGGTCTTTTAGTGCATCGATATCGCTTGGCTGTTTTCCGTAGGTGCCGACGACGCCATATCGATTGCTTGTTCCTGCATCAAGCGGCAGGGCGATCCTTGCCACCCGCAAACGGCCAGACGCGTCCCTGGGCTCGCAAGTCACAGCCGTCAAGCGGATGTGAGAAATACTCCGTAAATCGTTCGTCAAGAGCTCAAGCGAAGGAAAATTTTTTGTTCAAATGAAAGCTTGATCGGGGCCAACTACCCGCACGACTCCCCCGCGCGGAGACTTGCCAGTGGGCCTAGACTCTCTAGAGGTGGGAAGATCGCGGGGGAAGCCAAGAAGTCGAGTCAGCTGTCGTCTGAACTCCGGAGCGGTTCCACGTCCTTGCCCCTGACTACAGAGATCAAGAGGGGCGCGCTAGCAGCGAGACCTCGCTTGACGTCTTTTCCAAGATGCCATCACTCTCGGCTGCCCAGCTTCGATTGTATGCTCTAGTCATGGTCCGTTCAACTTCTTCCCCCTCATGTCTACCAGACTCGATATTTGGTTTTGCCTAATTTCTGCTCTTATCCGCCCGGGCTCCCAATGCATGGTGCGGCGGTGCGCCTGGGCCCTGTCCATGCCTCTCTGTCCCGCCGTCTCTCCCGCCTTCGCTCTTCCACCCGTCAGACATATCATGGCATGTTCAAAAGTGGCCGTACTTGCATTGTGGCTGCATTCAACTGTCCACCCGCCCACTGCACCAGTTTGCCATGTATGTACGTAATTTCGCTATTCCGAGGCAAAGTGGCAAGGAGCCTCCCTAACCCCGGCACCGTCCATGGCACCGTGTCATCGGCATGACTTGGCTAACCTGGTACGGGGTATCTCCGTTCTCAACAGCAAGGATTGAGCAAAATGCCCCGCGATCCGGATTGTCAAGGACCCAGGCGCCGGACGGCTTGCCGGCGTGCACATCATTTCCTGGGCGTCTCTAGCTGTCATATTTTAGTGCCTCGTATTGGATAGCGCTCCATTAATGACTTTTTGGCGAAAGTGCGGCTCGGATACGCTAACTTGAGTTTAGGGTCGCCTGGCCCTTTCGGCTCGCGGGCTCGACTCGTTGATGGACCAGACGTAATAATCGTGAGCCAACACCTAAAATATGTGGGGCGGGCTCGATTATCCGACAAGCTGAACTGTTAAACTACAGTGAGATGCAAAAATATTGAGTAGACCAGGTACCAGGCTATTGCGCTCTATTATACAATGATGATTCATGATGCTTGTTAAGAAACAAATATATTATGCTACAGCTTGTAGCTTGCAAAGCTGACTTCTTGCTAATAAGAGGGCACATGCATACTGGTGGAGATTCCCGCAGAGCCTACATTCTCGCGGGCTTATTGTCGACTGGTGTATCACGAGACGTCCTGGTAGCAAGACACCTTAGCCCGGATGATGGATGACGCAGGGTTGAGCATTGACGGCAAACACAAAGGAAGCATTCGTATCTCGCTATAGCATCTAGTCTTTGAGCGATGAGGTGAAAGAAATAACCGACATGTTCGCTCCATATAAAACCTTGCTACAATGCTGACTAGAGTTCCCAATTTCTTCCAATGACTTGTGGACATTTTAAGAGCTGTTTAAACCTAGCCTCGTGCAAACCCAGCTCTACGGAAAATGACGCGACGAGGGGTAAACGAAACTTCAACGTCGGACTAAATCATGATAAGGGTTAGCTACCAAGTTTGTTTTCTGGGGACAGATGTTACTATTGACTAAGCAGAGTGGGGCGCTGCTCTGTCCTGATGCTTAAATTTTATCAGTGTCATGAGTTTGCGTGGTGGGAACGAAGAGAATACTACTAGTAAGTATTGGGCAAATATCTCACGTTACGATGACTATTTCGTCCTTTGGATCGGTAGTTGCTCGTCATCCAGAGGTCAGTTCAAATTCAGATTGCATGGTGCTTGAAGCAGCAGTACATGGGGTATACTTGGAAGGCACTAGAACAATAGAACACAAAGGCTTCCATTAGTTAATAGAAGGTGTACAAATACAAATATTATTGTCCATTTTACACTTTGCAAGTTCACAAGCGAGTGAAGTCGCTGGCTGTACTCTGTAGTCGTAGCCTGCAAGGCACGGGACCCACATTTCTTGGACATGCTGCCAATGGTAGTCGCGTTCTAGACGCGTCACACGAGGCTAATCCCGCGCGCCACCAATCGATAAGGACTCGGGTCAATTAAACTTGTTTCGTTGTCATCACTTGTGAGAGCAACGCATTTGAGGTGTTTGGCCAGCCAGCTGCTTCAACAAATCGTGCGCTCCGCAGTGCGTTCGTTTCTCTGGTACAGCGAGCCGTCTACAAATCCAGCTGTTTCCGTGACGTGTCGGGGCGGTGCTAGGTTCCACAGCTCGCCTCATTGTCTGAAGTGCACGGATGCCTGCGTCTTGGTTGCCTTGTTTGCAGGACTCTGAGGGGTGGATATGGCAAATCCATCAACCATGAACCGTCGAGTCGAGGATGCAATAGAGGAGTTGACCGTGCAACAGGTCTTACTCAGCTCTCTGGAAGGCCAAACATGGGACGGTGTCGAGGAGGAGCGGAACATAGTCCTTCGGAATATTGAACGCCTGAAGGGCCGCATCAAGAAGCTGAGGCGAGAGGCACAGGCACAAGCACACACCGACGAAAAAACTGGTGAGTCTTGTTCGTTCATGATCTGTATCATGTGCGTTGCTTGATGCCAGCAGCAGAACTTGAAACCTTGTGACATCACTCTCATTACGGCCTAACCCTCTTTCTTTTAGATGTTGTTCGCTCTGCATCACAAGCGCAATCTCCATCCGACTCATCAAACAGTGAGTGCGTTGTTTGTTTTTTCCATGTTTCTATGCTCTAGCAAAGCCGTCTCTACAACCAAAGCTCGTGAAGTTATTCACGTTCTACACAGTCGACCGGTGTGAAATGCCTGTCATGTTTCACCGGGCCACCAGACGAACTGTTTGTACCCCATTTCCGGATCACAAGACTCAAATTTGCATCTCCTACACCCCACTGCATTTCGATATCTAATCTTGCCAGCTGGTATGGACTGTATCGTGCCAGCTGCATGATCAGGCAAGTGTCCGAGAACGGCGGCAGTGAATGTGTCCTTGCACAACGCACACTGATCGTCACGCGGAGCAGAGTCAAACGTTGCTACGAGATGAGATAGTAGCAGCATCTCCTGCATCTTTTATACAAGCATCTTTCCGCATCCCTAACCGATGAGCATACAGAACTTTCGTGCCCTCAACCCATGACCCCAGTCGCGACAGGCGGGCGCTCGATCAGGATGGACTCTTCCTCCAGTTATCACGACATCTGGGATAGCCCATCTTCAACATCTTTACCAAGTAGAAAAAGGGATCTTCGAGCAGCCGATGGCTTGACAGTCGATGGGCAGAATAAGTCTAGACGCACGACTCCTATTCCCGGAGTCAAACATTCCTCCACCCCTTCGAGGCAAGCCATGGAGTATAACGACACCGAACCTATTGATATCATTGATCTCACTGGGTATGCCTGCGCTTGCCGCCATGCAATTACTTGCTCACATGCTAACAACAACAGTGACGATGTCGACTTCGATTCCACCATGGTCGCCGAACAAATCCGACAGCAGCAGCGGCAAGAACGGGAGAACCGAGATAGGAAAATGGCGATGCAACTTGCTAGTCAATCCCCCGTGGTACCGTCGACGTCCTCGGACATGGCTTCCGACGAGATGGACGCTTTTTCGAGGATCATGGCCACGGAGCGAGCCAACACAAGAGGACCAACAGGATGGAACTGGCAGTCTTTGCCGGCATCTAGTACTCAAACACCAATGCCACCCGCAACTATAAAGGGAGCCTCAACGGCAGGGCCGTATGATCTGAGCTGGGACAATCCAAGCCCATGGGATAGATCTCCTGTTCCAATCCCGGCCTCGTTACCTAGTAATGGATTCCAAGTTGCGGGCATAAACTCACCTAGTGGAAATCGCCAGAGCCCCTCAGGGTTCAATGCTCAGTTAAATTCCCCATATTCTACCATGAGACACCAGCTTTCGAATCAGGCTATTAGGAATGCCTTCCAGCCTCTCTCATCATCGAGAGTTATTCCATTCAATGGGGTTTCATGGCTCCCGGGAAAGAATGGCTCTAGTATTGCAAACATCATCGAACAAACCAGCACGTTTGATTTCGCAAACGGGCTTGATACATTTGGTAATCCACTGCCTAGTCGTCTGACAAATGTACTCCTAGGCGATGCTAATGACTCGCCTGTGACGGGAAAGGAGTTGGATGACTTATTGGCGAATATTCGCCCCGACATAGATATTCCAGAGCATAATCGCGGGGTTGGTCCGCCTGGGCTTAAGTTTGCCCTCTACCGCCACCAAGAAGTCGCTCTTACCTGGATGAAACAAATGGAAGAAGGCACCAATAAGGGTGGTATCTTGGCCGACGACATGGGACTAGGCAAGACAATTTCCACGCTATCGCTCATGCTTTCCAACAAGTCCAGTTCTCGTCCAAAGGTGAGTTACGTATAATCTCACCATTATCTCAAGACACCTCACTTACATACAGTGTAGACAAACTTAATTATTGGCCCTCTTTCGTTGATTCGACAATGGGAAGAGGAATTGCAAAAGAAGACCAAGCTTGCGCATAGATTTTCGGTGTTTGTGTATCACGGCAAAAAAGCGACGACTGATGAGCTCCTAAAGTATGACGTTGTGCTTACCACCTATGGCACTTTGGCACAGGAACTGAAGCGCCGCGAGAAATTCATTGAAGAAAACAAAGACAGGAATATTGACTTTAATGATAAATCTTGTATGGCCAAGTTTCCGCTGCTACACCCGGAGAAAGCAGTCTTCCATCGCGTCATCCTGGACGAAGCGCAATGTATCAAAAACAGGAATACCCAAACAGCAAAGGCTTGTCATAGCTTAAGAGCGACTTATAGGTGGTGTTTGACTGGCACCCCGATGATGAATGGCATTCTCGAGCTTTATTCCCTCTTGAAATTCCTGCGTATAAAGCCGTATAATACCTGGGAGAGCTTCCGCCAGGTAAGCAATCAGATTGCCGTGTGGGTTTGGGACTATCTGAGCTAACATCCGGGCAGACATTTGGAACCTTATTCGGCCAGAGAGGCGACCCTAAGAGCATTGCCATGAACAAGCTTCGAGCACTGCTCAAAGCAATAATGCTTCGCCGAAAGAAGGACTCCAAGCTAGACGGCAAGCCAATCTTGCAACTTCCTATGAAGAGGGAGCATGCTGTATATGCGGAGCTATCCGCGGACGAGCGAGACTTTTACAAACAACTGGAGGAGAAGGCCCAAGTGGTTTTCAGCAAGTACCTTCGAGAGGGGAGTGTTGGAAAGAATTATTCCAACATCCTCGTGTTGCTTCTTCGACTTCGGCAAGCATGCTGTCATCCTCATCTCAATTTGGACGTCGACGATGCAGTCAATCCCGTCAGCAGTGCTGATGTGGAGGAACTTGTCAAGCAGCTGGATGCATCCATTGTAGAGAGAATCAAGGGTGTCGAAGCGTTTGAATGCCCGATATGTTATGATGCAGTACAATCGCCATCATTTTTCATACCCTGCGGCCATGACAGTTGCAACGATTGTCTGTCTCGCATCGTAGACAATGCCATCTCGCAGAACCTCCATGAAGGCAACGAGAGTGACAAGGCTAAGTGCCCTGTCTGTCGAGGTGTGTTCGAGCCAAGAAAATGCTTCACCTATGATTTATTCAAGAAAATCCATATGCCGGACGCTCTGGAATCGTCGACGAAAATCGAACCAGGGTACGATGACTCTGGCGAGGACGAGGAAGACGGTTCAGAACAGGGGAATTCGTCGGATGAACTTGACAGCAAAGGGAATCTAAAAGGATTTATTGTCTATGACGACGACGACGACGAGCTTGCCGACATCAAACACCTGACAAAGGAGGGCTCCGCCCGTGACACGAAGGCGCGTAAACGGACCAAGAAGACTAAGAAAAAAGACAAAGGGAAGGGCAAAGCCAAGGAGAAGAAGGCAGACGTGAAGCCATCCATGCTCAAGAGCCTTCGTCTAGAGGCAGCCAAGAACCACCAAGCATATAAGCGATATATGGCATACCTACGCAAGACGTGGATGCCAGCAGCCAAAGTCACGGAATGCATGAAGCTGCTCAGGGAAATCCGAGAAACCGGCGAAAAGACCATCATCTTTTCCCAGTGGACGCTGCTTCTAGATCTCCTAGAAGTAGCCATGTGGCACGAGCAATTCCCAGACAAGCCCGTTCGGTACGACGGCAGCATGACCGGGGACGAACGCAGCAACGCAGCCAAGGACTTTAGAGACCGGTCCGAGTGCAACGTCATGCTCGTGTCCCTCCGCGCTGGCAACGCAGGCCTAAACCTCACGGCCGCGAGTCGCGTCATCATCATGGATCCCTTTTGGAACCCGTACATTGAAATGCAGGCCATCGACCGGACCTACCGCATAGGACAGCAGAAGGAAGTAGAGGTGTATCGGATCCTGACGCAGGAGACGGTAGAAGACCGCATCGTGGCGCTCCAGAACAAGAAGAAGGAGATTGTGGAGGCGGCGCTCGACGAGACGGAGAGCATGAAGATTGGTCGGCTGGGCGTTAGTGAGCTTAAATTCTTGTTTAATGCGCGCTGAGGAGCACGGATGCCTTGTTTTTGCATGGACTGGCTTTGTGGCCTTTGGAAGGGCCTACAACGTGAATGGGGGGGTTTGCGGATTACGGAGGCACGGGAATTAGATGCATGCGGGACTTGGCTATTTGGCTATCATGCGGATTCTACGATAATGACGCTACAATAATGCATCAGCTTATATAGACAATATATTGCTCTTTTTTCCAAAGTCAACCATCAAACAGGGCACTGATTATAATCGTATTGGGTATTCTCATCTACAAGCTACTCTGCTTTTCTTTTCCGTGGTGTCAAAGCATTGCTGTCGCCATCCATATCCCCTTGGCGCTGTGTATATTCCCGGGTCAGTTGGACTATTCCTCCTCGACGGCGACCGGCCCGTGGGTTGTCTAAGGCCTAGGCCTGCTTGCTTCCCGAGCCACCACGTCCTCTAGCCTTGTGGGCTCGCTGTCCAGATGGGCCGAGTACGTCCACGACTTGGTCTCCCCCTTGGGATTGTTTGAAAAGCTGCTCGTCAGCACCAACGCGACGGGCTGCTTGGCAATTGTGAACTGCAGCGCGCGGGAGTCGTCTTCGGGGTCGCGGATAGACGTGCCGCTCTGTATCCATTGCGCTGGACTCGGGGACGCGGATAAGGCGTTTAGGAAGTGGAGGGTTACGGCACGCTCAGTGGTGGTGCGGATGTAGCTGAAGAGGGCTTTGGGGTTGGAGTAGCCGTCTGCGTAGGGGGCGCAGATGCCCTGCAGGGTGGAGGACGGGGGTAGGGCGACCTGGTAGAATGTCGTGGTGACGGGGAAGAGGAACGTGCGGCCGCGGATGGTGAGCGATGCGTTGGGGAGGATGGTGAATGTGATGTTGAACTCTATCGTTTGGAGGATGTTTCGGATGAGGGATTGCGCGCCGGCCAGTTGGTTTGGTCCCTGTGACGAGGGGTCGGCGGCGGAGAATGGCGTTGTTTTGAGGGTGAATGAGGCTGGCAGGCCGGACTTTTGGAGGGCCTTGGTGATGGAGCCGATGTAGGTTGTGCATGAGAGGACGGCGCGGGTGGATGCCATGCAGGTGATGACGGGGCGGAGGAGGGCGTAGACTTGCTGGCCGCGGGAGCGGGAGATGTGCGGTGGTATGGGGCGGATTCTCATGAGTTCGTTGTATCGATGGGCGTAGCTGAGGAGGACGTGGAGGGAGATGAAGATTGCTTCCGCAATGGAGTTGTCGGGCAATGAGTCGTCGGCCACGGGGCACGAAGTGAGGGGGACAAGCTCGAGTACGATCTTGGAGGAGGAGTCCACGGAGCAGGTTAGAGTTGAGCCTTCTGGTCGGACGCCGTATGCTGCTAACGTGCGGGCTTCGCGGGTCAGTTCGTGCCAGAGCTCTTGAGAAAAGATGGTGTTTCGGGCCTCAAGGACACGGGACTCCAAGGAGGCGTCGTCATGGGCGCGGCGACGGGGAACCGATCGGCCAACCACTTGGCCGTCTTTTTCGTATGTGACTACTAGTCCTTCTGACACACCTCCTAGCCGTCCAAGGTCAAGCTCTACTGAGCCGCTATCGCCTCTTCTCATAGGTGCGAGGCCGTTGTTTTTGAACTCGGGAGAAGCTGGAATCCGTTAGCATGAGGATGGGTGTAAATGCTGACAGGAGGAGCGGGTTGAATCGACTCACCTTCTGAGAAACCAAACTTTACGCCCAGAGTATGGCGCTCATGAGGTACCCTGCAAATAGACCAGCCAGACTTTTTGACAGCCATGACGTCCTCCCAGTATTTACTCTCCGCATCGACCTCTCGTTGCAGAAACTTGCCAGCCTCGTCGGCGGCATCTCGCGCCTGGTTGATCTGCATGAGCGTCCACCCAGTGGCGACTTCTTCCTCGTCCTTTTCCTTGTTGACGTTCAATATTGGTTCGTCCAGCTTATCGGCACCCAAGGTCCCTATGCCCACCATTTCTCGCAGCTGCTGAGAAAGGGTTAAGCCAGCCTGGGTTGGATTTTGCTTGGATAAGAGCAGGGAGAGGGAATCGAGGGTTAGCATAGCGGTGTTGCCGGCAATCCTACGCGCCGGTGTTAGCCTTGAAATTTCTGTAGACTCAGGAACCGCATCTAGGCTGCGCACTCTATATTCTTCAAGACGTCCATGCGCACAAGGGCAGCATCTTTCACAGGCTCCTCGTCGTGGCCTAGGTCGGACATGTCCACATCCTCTGGGTCGGTGTCGGCCCCATTGACGACTTGATTTGATTTGATCTCATCTTGAATTTTGTTCTCTGTCACATCACGAAAGCCGCCGGACTGTGTATTGACGCGCGCAATGAACTCGGCGAGGTTTTGGGGGGCCTTGTCGGCGACGGGGAAGGGTCGCAAGGACAAGGGAGGTCCGTCGGGTGAAGCCATGGCTCACGTCACCTCGATGGTGTAGGGGAGATGAGACAGCACATCCGGGGATAGTGAGAGGATCGAAATTGGCCGGTGGAGGGCTAGGATTAGGTGTCGACGGTTGACCTGCTTCGAGATTCAATGTTGCCTGTGGCCGTTGACATTCAGCCTTGCGAACTGGGATTGTGGATTGCGCATGCATGGGGAAGGACAGCCACACCAGTTAAGCCACACTGTTGACTGGGGCAGGATTCAGGAAGAGAGTGGTTGTGGCTTGGGGCTAACAGATCATGGCCATCACCAATTGCCGCTGACAGTTGAAGCATCGAAATAGGCATCGAAACATGAGCTGATTTTTCACGTGGCACAGCTCTTTGTCGTTGTCGACTTCTGTGTGAGGCTGGATTAGGTCGCTTCAAGTGGTGTGGAGCGCAGCATTCCGTATGGCTCCAAGGCCACACAGTTGCATCCCAGCAAGGATGAGCCAACCGCCAGTGTCAATAATCACGTCGGAGCAAGCTGGTCAAGTCCATTTCGATGAGCATCTGCATTTACGTGTTTCAATATTTGCCCCGTGTTTGATTGGGAATGGCTGGTGAGGCCCTAGTGGACGGCGGCCAGAATGAGGCCGAGCAATGGTCCGGAGGTCCAGGGAATAGCGTCAGTGTTGGAAGCCCTCGGGGCGCACCAAAAGAAAAAAACCCTCACTCAAACCCATGGTCTGGTGCTTCGTGTGGCGGTTCGAGCAAGTGGCGCCCCCAAAATCATAATGCCCTCGCACTGACCTGTCAGTGACCCTGTCAGCGACGACGGAAAGCTAATGCTGGTGGAAGCTATCTAGCTCCTCCAGATGTCCATCAACGCAAGTTGCAAGTTGCCCTGGACGAATGAAGTCACGTATAGTCAATGTATGTAGTAACATGTGACACTAACAGATTGCAAGCTACGCCTCACCTTGCCGCAGACGGGATTGGCGTCGATGGCTGTCCTGCCTTCCAGCGCCCAGCGCCCGACGCTTTTGTAATGGAATTGATAAATTGACAAGACAAGCCGTCTACGTAGGAGCTCCAGATGTCCAAGTGCCCCTCCTCAACCCTGCCTCCTGGTGTCTGGTGAAGCTTGCTGCCCCTCATTCGCCCTCACTCGTCCAGTCTTCAACCTCTTCGAGACAACCACCTGGAGCTTTGCACACAGCAACCCACCTTCTTTTTCCCGCCTCTGCCAAGCATCCCTTTGGGGTCTCCTTTGACGCCGCCATCTCCTCTGCCGGCCGCTTCGATTGACCTGCCATCGATATTGACCCCATAAATGCCCAGCGCGGCTTACCTACAACTCTTTGCTCAACCCATCGATACTCTACTTGCGCCATTACGAAATATCCTACTCGCCCTCTGGCGGGCTCTCTTCCTCCGTCTCAGCCCGTCCGCTGCGACATCGACCCTGACAAGTCCGCCACGAACACGCTCTCCAGCCATGGCCGCTCCGAAGAAAAAGATTGCCGTCATGACCTCTGGGGGTGACTCCCCAGGCATGAATGGTGTTGTTCGAGCTGTTGTGCGAACAGCTATCCACATGGATTGCGATGCCTATGCCGTCTACGAAGGATACGAGGGCTTGGTGCGAGGAGGCAATTTCATCAGGAAGATGGAATGGCACGATGTTCGAGGCTGGCTCTCCGAGGGAGGTACGCTTATCGGAACTGCTCGCTGCATGGCTTTCTACGAGCGACCGGGGCGCTTGACGGCCGCCAAAAACATGGTCCTGAACGGCATCGACGCCCTGATTATCTGCGGAGGAGATGGCTCACTCACCGGCGCCGACAGATTCCGGTCCGAATGGCCGTCATTGCTGGAGGAGTTGGTGACGAGTGGCGAGCTTTCCGAGGACCAGGTTGCTCCCTACCAGCACCTCAACATCGTTGGCATTGTTGGTTCCATTGACAACGACCTCTCCGGCACCGACGCCACCGTTGGCTGCTACTCCGCGCTGTCACGAATTTGCGAAATGGTCGACTACATTGAGGCTACCGCCTCGTCTCATTCCCGTGCCTTCGTCATCGAGGTCATGGGACGACACTGCGGGTGGCTAGCTCTTTTGGCCGGAGTCGCAACAGGTGCAGACTTTGTCTTCATCCCTGAGCGTCCTCAAGAGCACGACTGGAGAAAAGACATGCGTTTGGTTGTCAATCGACATCGAAAGCTCGGCAAGCGCAAGACAATTGTCATCGTCGCCGAGGGCGCCCGCGATAAGGACGGCAACAAGATTGTCCCCGAGGAAATTAAGGATCTTCTGGCCGACAAGGCGGAGGGTGGTCTCGGACTTGATACTCGCATCACTACTCTGGGTCATGTCCAGCGCGGAGGTACGGCAGTTGCCTACGACCGCGTGCTCTCTACGCTTCAGGGTGTGGAAGCCGTCCACGCCGTCTTGGAAGCCACCCCCGACACCGAGACTTGCTTCATTGCCATGAACGAGAACAAGATTGTACGCAAGCCGCTGATGAAGGCTGTCCAAGAAACCAAGGAACTGGCCGAGGCTGTCGATGCAAAGGACTTTGAGAAGGCCATGTCGCTGCGTGATGCCGAGTTTGCCGACCAGTACAATTCGTACATTACAACGACCAACGTCATGATTGACGACCACAAGCTACCCCATAAGCACGTGAGTGTTGGAAAGCTGACCTGACTCCTGGGATGTGGAAATACTGACATGGGACCCAATTACTTAGCGCATGAAGGTTGGCTTCATCAACGTTGGCGCCCCGGCAGGGGGAATGAACGCGGCGGTGCGAGCAGCCGTTGCGTACTGTATCGGTCGAGGACACGAGCCGATTGCCATTCATAACGGATTTGCAGGCTTTGCGCGTCACCACGACGATAAGCCCGTGGGCTCTGTCCGACCGTTTGACTGGCTCGAAGTAGATGGCTGGGCGAGTAAGGGTGGCTCTGAGATTGGCACGAACCGTGAGCTGCCAGAAGAATCGGGCATGGAGCTCATTGCCAACTTGATTGAGCAGTATGAATTTGATGCCCTCTTCATCATTGGGGGTTTCGAGGCCTTTCACTCTGTGGCCCAACTGCGAAAGCACAGGGACGAGTACCCTTCACTCTGCATCCCCATCTGCCTCCTGCCCGCGACCATCTCCAACAACGTGCCGGGCACCGAATACTCTCTTGGATCGGACACGTGCTTGAATGAGCTCGTGGGTTACTGCGACAAAATTAAGCAGTCTGCGTCTGCCACTCGTCGACGAGTGTTTGTCATTGAGACGCAGGGCGGTCGCTGCGGCTACGTTGCCACGCTCAGCGGGCTGAGTGTTGGGGCGTCGGCAGTCTACATCCCAGAAGAGGGAATCAGTCTCTCCATGCTCAACGCGGATGTCAACCATCTCAAGGAGGTGTTTAAAAACGACCGTGGGCAGTCCCGCGCGGGTCGTCTCATCCTGGTCAACGAAAAGGCGAGCAAAGTGTACGATGCCAAGCTCATTGCCAACATTATCCGCGAGGAAGCCCACGACCGGTTCGAGAGCCGTGAAAGCATCCCCGGACACGTGCAACAGGGCGGTGTTCCATCCCCCATGGACCGCTGCCGGGCGGTTCGGTTGGCCATCAAGTGCATCCAGCACCTGGAGGACTTTGGCTGCAACGCCCATAACCGCGTCAAGAAGGACCCCCACAGCACGTCGGTCATTGGCATCCAGGGCTCCGAGGTTGTGTTCACGCCGGTGAAGGCGCTGGAGGAGCAGGGGACGGACTGGCCCAACAGACGGCCCAAGGCTGCCCACTGGCTAGAGGTGCGTGACGTGGTGGACATGCTGGGCGGTCGGCCTGACTATCCCAGACCGGAGAAGAGTCTGACGGGGTTGATTGCCAAAGACACCAAGAGGGGCATTGCCTGAGAGCAAGGCGCTGGATCAAGAGTGTTGGTTGGGGGGGTGGTTTAAACCTAAACGAAGCAACTACAACTCGACTCGTTTCGTGCATTCATCTTATCGCTGGCGTTGTTGCAGGATTGGTGTACTTGTCGGTTACTCTTTATGGTTACAGTAGAGTTATAAGAACTACTAGTCCTACCGGCAAGGTACCGACCGCGTGGGCGCGAATCTGCTTTTGAACCCGTACACTAGCTCCCGTACATTTTAGGATATGCACACCCATCTGGGTTCCGGCAGTAGAAACTACTACTACTACTACAGAGTACTACTGCTGCTACTCTGTTGGAGCTCGTGCAGGCGTCAACGGCACAAGGGTCCAGTGCGAGGGGCCAGCTCGATGTCCGTCAGATTGTACGGGCGTCAGGAGTGAATACTATCTATCCCCGGGTGACTTGCATTACGCCGCTTGCCATGTGACGACCAGCAGACTATTCTCACCAGTCTGCTCACCTGCCAGTGACGGCTGAAGAGCAAAAATCAGGGGCATCCATCATCCAAACTAGTCAAGTGACGGTCTCTCACACCCACCAGTCGTGCGTGGGGGATGGGCAAAGGCCGTCAACAGAGCAGATGACAGCGTGGCATATTTATCATGAATACTATTATTTTTCTGTAAAAACGGGTCCGATGCCCAAAGGACCAAGAGAGACGAAATGTCATCCGTCCCATGCATCCCCGGCGGACGGGCAGCAGGGCGGGGGTAAGGGGGGGATAAACAAGCATTACGGGATAATGCGGTGGCTGCACAATTGCGTCAGTATTCGGACATGGCCAGACGGAGCATTTTTGGGATCGGCGGCGGCCCCAAAACTTGGCAACTTGGCGGACGGAGGGCAGAGTTGACGGCGCAGGGATGGGGACGTGGGAACATGGGCGTCAAAACGTACTTTGACGAGTGGACTTGGTCAGGGGAAAGAAGAGAAGGAAAGGAAAAAAAAAAGACGTCTTGCCGCTTCAAATTGCCAAAGACTGGTGGCAAGTTGCAGCCGACAGGCATCAACGGGCGCTGTCGGGACCTGGTGTCGTTTGAAACGGGCAGCGCTGACTGCTCAGACGACGCGGTCGAGTGATTGGGCAGACGTGTCGATGCTGTCCTGGCCCGCGGGCATGGATTGGCGTTGACGTCTGGTGTGGTTGGTTTCTCGCAGACACGAGGCGGGCAGTGGCGGCGTCGAGGCCAGCAAGACTGGACTTGACTTGACTTGACTTCAAATAACGGCAGGGCGAAGGGATGGGGGCCGCGTGTGTATTGACATATGTACATGGCTTGCATTGATGGCTCTTTGTCCTGCGCTGGCCTGCGCAAGCTGGTCCTGCGACGCTGTCTTGTTTCTATTTTCTAAAGCTGTCACTCTTGGGCCCTTTCCCGCCGCAGCGACGACTTGGCATTGATTGTATTTGATGCGTCGCGCGTTGGGCTCCGAGCCTCTGTCTGTTCTCGTCGCTTTGGGCCGTGCCGGTCCGCCAGCTCCACACGTACGGTCCGCCCCTGCGCCCCTCGCGGGTGACACTGGTCGTGCTGGTTTGGCGCTCACGTCACTGCATGTGCGCTCTCTCGCGTGCATTAATGTCATTACATCAGGCGTCCAGCCTCCTTCTTTTCCTTTGCCCATCCAAGCAGAGCGATATTTTCGCTCGTGAGCTTTTCCTTGCGCCAAAGTGTAGCGTTTGCTTGCAGGCGGTGCCTCTTCTGTCGACTTTTGACTTTTTTTTTTTTCATCTCCTCTCGACAGGCGCTCTTGTTGTGCCGTGTCTGCCTTGGGACGTTTAGGACGGCCTCACCGATCCACGATCGCTTAACGAGGCGTCGGTGCCTGGAACTTGAAAGTCGCTGCACCTCGACGGGCTGCCTCCTAGTCCTAGATTGACCAACGGGTTTGCAATCTTGGGCCTACTTGGACCAGAGTCACGACATTATTTTTTCTCTCCCTGCCTTTTCTTCTTTTAATTTTATTTTCTCCTCTCCTCTCTGTCGACCAGCGAGCCTCCCCCTCTCTGCGATATATCTGCCCCTCATTGTCAAGACGTCCCGAACAAAGGAAAACCCATAGTCGCCCAACGCCGCCGCCGCAACCATGTCGCAACGTGGCGCCAGGGCCACCGACTTTGAGGAAAGGGACTACTACCCTGCGCCTCGTCGGTCCGGCACGCGCTTCGAAGAGGCGGATTACCGCACCTCGAGGGTCATGACACGAAGCCCTCCGCCGCGCGAGCGAGAGTCGGACCGTGGCATCTCCTTCCTGAGAGATGACGCCCGAAGGTCCGAGCCGGGACAGATGGTCCTTCGCAAGCGGGACGTGGAAACCTGGGATGTGCACCGGAGCCCGAGTCCGCCCCGAGTCCGTGAGCAGCGCATCGTCCACCGACCGAGGAGCGAGTCGCCGCGTTATCATGACCATGAGCACGAGCGTTCGAGGACGAGGGTCGTCGAGAGAGAACGGGAGAGGGTTAGGTCGCCGTCTGCCGTGAGGATGAGGAGCCCCAGCCCGGGCGTACGCTTTGTAGAGCGGAGGAGGAGGAGCCCGAGCCCTCCCGTAAGAGAGCATATCCGCACGAGAATCGTCGAGAGGGAAAAGGCCAAGGAGCCGAGTCCCAGCCCGAGTCCCAGTCCGCCACCCGTGATACGGGGACCGACCATCGAGAGGGAGGTCATCACGCACTACACTGACGTTGATCACGGTACATTGTCCCGCCGCCCGTGCCATGTGCCGCCGACAGAGTCGGACTAATCCGCGTTTCCAGGCGTCATTCGGGCGAGGCCGCCCTCACCGCGGCCGCACACCCACCGCGAACGCGAGACCGACATCGACATCTCCCTCTCCAAAAACAAGACCGAGGTCGACGTCGACATCCACCGCTCCACCAGCCGTCACCGCAGCGGCAGCCACGAGCGGCGCTCGCACTACCACGACGACGAACTCATTGTCCGCGACGGCATGGACCGCCTCCGCATCGACGACGGGCGCCGCTCGCACCGCCGCGCCCGGTCCGCCGCGCCCATGGCGTCCCCCGTCGACGAGGAGGCCGAGTACATGACGGGCAGGATCGACGCGCGCGGCCGCATGGGCGAGGCGTGGCACGGCCACACCAAGGACTGGACCATTGTCGACGTGCCCCCCGGCACGGAGAGGGTGCGCATGGACGGCGTGGGCGGCGCCAGCACCGAGACCAACTGGTCCAAGTACAGCGGCGTGCGCCGGACGACCTTTGTCCCCGAGCGCGACGGGCAGCTCGTCGCCGTGCCGCGCGCGCCGTCGCCCCGTCCGGCGCCCGTCCCCGTCGTCGGCAGGGACCACACCAGCGTCACCGTCTACGACCGCGACCGCGACCGCGAGATCGACGTCGACGTCGACATTGACCGCCGCCCGGGCAAGCCCAAGCCCGCGCCCGCGCCGCTCCCCACGCGCGACATGTGGACCGAGATCACCAAGGACCTGGTGTGCCGCGAGGCCATTGAGCAGATGGGCTATTCGTACGAGGAGACCAAGTGGTTCTTTTACATTATGGAGTATTTGCAATACGTGAGTCTCGACATTGATGTCTTGTCCACCCCCCTTGGCACTTTTTACCTCTTGTCCACTTCCCCCCCC